ATATTATATACACACACGAATACTGGCTTATACAAAATAAATTCATAAACCCCAACAACAAAAATTTACAAATTTCAACATTTATATTATAAATCACCTCAAAACCAATAAAATACAAATAAAAAATACACAAATATATGCATATGTAACTATATGTTGCTATAGTAATGTATACAGTCTGTTGAACAAAACAGATGTAACTTGAAACAAAAATTTTGACACCTTTAAGGAAAGGATCAATGGCGTTCATTAAGCTGCAATTGCAAAATCAAAACAAAAAAAATATTTTAGTGCAAATGAACAAAAAATAAAGAAGCATCCTCAAAAAACAACAGACACTAAGAGATCGAGAGAAATAAATCTGAAAATATAAAAATAAAATAAAATATAAAAATATAAAATTATAAATCTGAAAATATAAAAATGAATAAAATCGACATGAAAATATAGATCCCGACGAGTGGAATCCAACGGTGAGTAGCCCGTCGAATTCCGACTGACGAAAAACAAATTACACATCTTGTAAGAACACCGTCGTCGAAATATGCCGACTAAAAAAATGCAGAAACAGATCTAGCACTCCAAACTGAATGAAATACCCACCAAATGAAAGAGCTCGACGAGAGGATTACAACGATAGTTGAACCATCGAATTCCGACCACCGAAGAGAGAGTTATGACTCCGAGAAGCAAAATCGCGGGTTAGAGACCTTGGGGTGCAAGATTTGGATCTGAGAATTAAGAGAGGAAGATAAACACAGATATGGGTTGGGCTAGGATTTAAAATTGATTTAAAAGGATATTCTGGGTACTTCATGGTGGGCTAGGGGAGCATGTCAAATTATATCCAAATGGAAGGCACTTGCACTAAAGTGTAAACAACATGGTAGTTAGTTATATATATTTTCGAAATGAGGGGTCTCTACAATAATTCCATATACCATTCAATTATTCATAAAAGATAAAAGAAGAAAAAAAAATTATGAAAGGTGGAGAACTAAAATCACAAATTATTAAAAATAATAAAGTAATACTAATGTGATTATTATTTTGAATAAAAAAATAATAAAGTAATACTAATGTGATTATTATTCTGAATAAAAAAATAAGAGTAAAAAGCAGTTTACCCCCTAAACAAATGCCCGTTTTGCACTTTGCCCCCTAAACAAAAAAAATTTGCACGTTCTTACCTAAACTCCGGTTTTTGTTGCACGGTGCCTCAAAATTGGAATATTCAGGCCATTTTGACCGGAATCTTCCACACGTGCTTTTCACGTGAGTTTTAAAGGGGTAAAAGAGTCTATTCACTTGCCTTCTTCATAAAAAAAAAACAAAAAAAAAAAAAGAAGCAGAAGAAGAAGCTGGGAAAATCTGCAATTGGCTGAGAATGGGAATGGGTTTCTCTTAGTTTTCTTCCCGGAGGAACACCACATGCTTTCTTCAATTTTATCGAGCTGCAATTTGAGACGTTTTTTAAATCAGAGACGAAATTAAATTTATTTCAATAAAAAAGTACAAATATTGATGAGTTGGGTTCTTACTGTGATGATTGGTAGCAAAGGCCCGAATATTTCTTCAGTCATAATCTGAGCATCTAGTGGAGGATCCAATAAATATGTGGGCTCAATCATCCTGTAATTGTCGAATATTTTAATTCTCCGAAAACATAAATTTAAATAAATAAATAAGAAATTAAAAGGGTACTAACAAATTTTCTCGGTCGAGTGAACCACCGTAGACAATGGAAGCTGCGACACCAGGTTCCTCGAGAAGATTGCATATTCTATCGAAATGATTCTGGTTCACAATTCTGCAAATACTCTGCAAGTTTTGCACGTTGTCACCGTAAAACCTTTTGATACACCTCTTTAGAGAAACCCATTCCACCGTAAATTTATGTTGTTGTTGTTATATTCAAATTCACCACGAAATCGATTATGAGGGTAGAGGGGATCTCGTCGGTGCCCCCGTGGTTTATCTAGATGAAGAAGAAGCCGGTTCCGAAATGACCGATTTGAGGGTAGAAATGGCGGATAACAACCCTTCTTTTTCTTTCTTCTTTTTCTTTGTTTTTTCTTTTTTTTTTTTTTTTTTTTTTTTTTTTTTTTGTTTTTTTTATGAAGAAGGTAAGTGAATAGACTCTTTTGCCCCTTTAAAACTCACGTGAAAAGCACGTGTGGAAGATTCCGGTCAAAATGGCCTGAATATTCCAATTTTGAGGCACCGTGCAACAAAAACCGGAGTTTAGGTAAGAACGTGCAAATTTTTTTTGTTTAGGGGGCAAAGTGCAAAACGGGCATTTGTTTAGGGGGTAAACTGCTTTTTACTCAAAAAATAATAAAGTAGTACTAATGTGATTATTAAGATGTGAGAGGTTTGGCACGTGGGGCCCAGCATCGTTCAATTTAGTTATGGGTCGGGAGCTTTTGTTACTTGTCTTCTCTCTCGTACCACCAAATACAGTTCTCTCACGTTTTAACTAAAATCGTGGCTTCTCACCAAACCACATATCCACGTTGACCGTTAAGAAAGGCACGTGATATTTGATAAATCCACCCTCCACACTCCACACCACAAAGAACTGTAGGAAACAGAACCGCATCGCCGTTAAAATTCGTATCCCGCCGGAAAGCCGTATCTGACTGGTGGCGCTACTACTATCTATTCCTCCGCCACCGCCGCGGCGTACTCATATATATTTTCCGTTGTATTTTCAGAACCATCACACACACACACACACAAATGTTCGTAGCGCAATTACACCATTTCTAGGGTTCTTCCTTCTGGCTGATCCCGATCGTTCGTTCTAATTTCAGCTTTATGGCTGAGTGGCAACAATACCTTCAAACGGTGTTCTTCGGCGTCGTTTTCTCCTTCCTTCTGGCGAAGCTCTTCTCCGTGATCTTCGCCTTCCACGATGAGAACCTCCGCCTCACGCGCTCGGGTCAAACCGAATCCGAATTCGAAGGTAAATCCCCTAGTTCGCCATTGTTGGGTGGAAATGAAGGACTGGTTAAGGAGATTAGTGTAATCAGTGATCACAATTGTAGTGATAGTGATGATGATTGGGAGGGTGTGGAGAGCACTGAGTTGGACCGAATATTTAGTGCGGCCACTGCTTATGTGGCAGAAATAGCTGCCGATCGTGCAGCGAAGAAATTGCCGAACGATGCACAATTGCAGCTCTACGGGCTGTATAAGGTAGCCATCGAAGGCCCCTGTTCTGCTCCCCAACCGTCGGCACTCAAAATGACTGCTCGTGCCAAATGGTAAGGGTTTCAGTCATGTGAATGTGATTCGGTTTGAGTAAATTTGATATTGTCGTAAATTTCTTAATAGTACTTGTCGCCATTATAACGAATCAGCTTGTTAAGCATTGAACTTCTGAGTTGAGTTTCAACGAAAATTAAGTTGCTAATTATACAAGTTTAAACGAATTTGATACTGATAGAGGATAGATGGATAAATGTTTCAAATTTTGAAGTGGAATACGTTGTTTGATGCTCAATTTCTTGGTGGCGCGTTTTATTTGTGCTTTTAACTCAATTTTTTTTGGCTAACCAGCTGAAAGAATTATGTTTTCGGTCTCCTAGGCAAGCGTGGCAGAAACTGGGGGCAATGCCTCCTGAGGAAGCAATGCAAAAGTACATCGACATTGTTACTGAGCTGTATCCCTCTTGGGATGCCGGTTTCAGAATTGTGAGATTAGAATCTTTTTGTTCCTTTTTCGACTTCAGAAGTTCTTATTTTATTACCCCTTTCTTAACCGTCCTTGTTGACTTCGTTCTGTGGCCTATGCTGATGACAGAAGAAAAAAGAACAAGAACGCGGCGATGCACATGTTGAAGGTTCCGAAGGGCCGATGGGACCCGTTTTTAGCACCTTTACACGCGAGGGGGAACCTGGATGTGAGTTGTAAGGATCCTGACTTCACCTATATGCTTTGCATTTTGCTGCTTCTTATAAATTGCGAACTGTGCTCTTGTCTTCCACACTCACAGCATAGGTTGACACCCCCTTTACCGTTGCACCCATCTTAGCATTTAGATGCCCTATTGGGTTTGGTTCAGTCAATTGATCTAGTTCTTGATTCTTTTCTTATTATATCAAAAGTTCCATATTCTTACCTTTCCATCGTCTACCAACAGCTGGTTTCAGATAAGTGGTTGTGAATCTATGAATTTATGGAACTAGATGCACCTTCTATAAATAGGTATAGTTTAAAATTTCGTGTTGGCTTTGCAGAAAGTTGGATGCTATACACACATTTGCAAAAGAAGGAGATGAAGAGAAGCTGCTTGAGTGCATCGAGAGTGGTGTTCCCTTGAATGTGAAAGGTCGGTTTATGTTATGTTTCTGAAATTATACATTTCTCTTTCTTGTGATAACCCCCAAGGCTGGGAAGATATTCTTAATGACACTTCTGACGTGGACTACTAATAGAGAAATCATTATTTGATGTGCCGATTTCCTTTGATTTTCTTCTGAAAATCATGTGCATGAAACAAGAGAAGTTTATGTTCCCGCCTGCTTTGCTTTGTCTGAAAATGTAACTGGATCTCATAAATATCTCCGACTGGATTATAATTTCTGAAAAATCTTGCAGATAACGAAGGTCGTACTCCTTTGCATTGGGCTGTTGATAGAGGCCATATGAATGTTACAGCATTGCTTTTGAGAAAGAATGCTGATGTTAATGCAAAGGTGATGGCTCCTTCTGAATCTTCTCGTTGATATATCAAATTAATGTTGATTGTAAAATAGCTTATGGGAATATTTAAATAGCTAAATTATTAACTTTCGTGCATTTTTCGAAAAAAGGATAACGCAGGTCAAACTGCATTGCATTATGCTGCTGCTTGTGAGAGAGTTGCCATTGCCGAGTTACTTGTGAAGAAGGGTGCCGATATACATATAAAGGATGACGAAGGAAACACTCCTGGCGATCTTTTTGAGCTGAGCTGGCCCTGGATGCAGATTAACTAATCCTAATTGATGATTACTAATATATTTTCAAGATTTCCATCTGTTTGAATTCGTACAGAGTAATTAATCCTGCTCGTGTATATATAATGCTAATGATATTTTATTAAAAAAATCGACTACGTAATGGTTCGTTCGTTTGGCAAAAAAGATAAATAGTCTGTCAGACAGCTGCTCGACCACCCCAGCCAGCCAAAGCTGACCGAGAACGATCCTCTACTGAGTCAGATAGCATGCGCCACTGAGTCCGTTAATCACGCTCTGGCCGAGCAGCCATGGTTCATCCACCAGGCTTAGTTTCCTGTCTCCTTAGAAATCAAGGATTCAGAGGTACGAGCCTATAGAACAGATCCTGTTCAAGTAAGGTCGTGACCATTAATATCAAATAGACTGTATATATATAAGTTGTTTCTTTCATATTTTTCCTATGTGGGACGAAACTCTCTGGCCAAACTTATAAAATCAATTGTCGTATTAATTGTTACCAACCATTCTCCAATTATTATTGTTTGGGATCCTATCGACTTGTTCCGACCTAGGATAATAAGCTCATGAGCTTGGTCTTACTTCACCGTCGAGAAACGAAAGAAGACTTCCATCTCCAAGTTTAACTCAGATGTAGCTCCCTTATTTTGGTTTTGGGTGTGAAGCAGTGTCAAACCAATTAGCTTCGTGGTTTCTCACAATTGGATTCAATGGCCAAATAAATCTTGTGCTACTGAGTAAGAGCCTCTCAACACATCCAATGACAATGTTCGATGCTACCGACATATAATTCATGCCCCGACACCACGAAATCAGACTGGTATCTTAATTAGAATGGTTTTCACTTCTATTCATTTGCCCGAAAATAGATGCAGAGACGATATTTTGAAAAGAAACGAAGAAATAACCATATAGTGAAAAAGGAAAGGTCCATTACCAAGCATAAAACATAAAGAGGTGTTACAATTACAGGTAAAACAAACATCTCCCTCGAGAAAGTAATCAAAATACAGACATATGGAAGGAGATCAGCAAGCAATGGCATAACCTGCTCTGCTGCTTCAACCTCACTAATTCCTCATCAAAACTTTTCTTGCAAAACATATAAAATGCATAAAAAAGTCTTAGTGTCATTTTCTATCTCACTAACTTCTCTCTCATCAGTGAAACACAAAACCTAATTTAAAAAACCAAAAAAGAAACAGTCTTCTACAGCTCATCATGGTCTTCTTCTTCTTCGTCCTCCGTTTTGCCGCCAGGTGCCCCACCAGACCTCTGATAAACAGCGGTGATAATTGGGTTGCAAGCTGCTTCCACTTCCTTCAGCTTCTCCTCGAAATCCTCCTTCTCTGCCGCCTGATTGTCATCCATCCACTCGAGTGCCTCCTTAGTTGCCGTCTCGATCTTCTCCTTCTCGTCGGCCTCCAGTTTGTCAGCTAGCTTGTCTTTGTCGTTAATCTGGTTCCTCATGTTGTAAACATAGGTTTCGAGGCTGTTTCTGGCGTCGATTCTTTCTTTGACCTTTTTGTCCTCCTCTGCAAATTCCTCAGCCTCCTTCACCATTCGCTCAATCTCCTCCTGACTCAAACGACCTTTGTCGTTTGTGATTGTGATCTTCTCGGATTTACCAGAGGCCTTGTCTTCTGCCTTCACGTTTAGAATACCGTTTGCATCAACCTCAAATGTTACTTCGATTTGAGGGGTTCCTCTGTTTCGATTAGGAAAAAGAAGATACACAATTAGTCACAGAGTAGAATGTCTTCAAATATAGAACACACTCAAGTGGGATGTGAATTTATACCTTGGGGCTGGGGGAATTCCTGTGAGATCGAATTTCCCGAGCGACCTACAGTCCTTTGTGAGACTTCGTTCACCCTCGAACACCTTTTCACATCGAAAAAAGTTTCATGTTTAGTATATTGATAAGTGTGGCGGAAGTAGCTCCTACTCTTATTTCAATAGTCAAAGCATTATACCTGGATTGAAACGGTAGTTTGTTGGTCCTGGTAAGTGGTGAAGACTTGGGATTTCTTGGTTGGGATAACAGTGTTTCTCGGAATCAATTTGGTCATCACTCCTCCAACAGTTTCAATACCAAGGGTCAAAGGCGCCACATCCAAGAGAAGAATATCTGATGCCAAGTACAGATGAATAAGCTTCAATCACAAATATTCAAGAAAAACTATTTATTGAAAACAATAGATAAAGAGCAGTAGTAGTACCTTTGGTTTCATCACCTCCCTCTCCGCTCAAGATTCCACCTTGTACAGCAGCACCATAAGCAACAGCCTCGTCAGGGTTTACACCTTTGTTGGGCTCCTTGCCATCAAAGTGCTCCTTGAGGAGCTGTTGGATTTTTGGAATTCTAGTGCTTCCACCGACAAGAACAATTTCGTCTATCTGGCGCTTCTCAAGACCAGCATCGTCCATGGCTTTCTTAACGGGACCCATTGTCTTTCTGAACAAATCATTGTTCAGTTCTTCAAAACGCGCTCTGGTAAGGGGTTCGGAAAAGTCTACACCGTCGAAGAGTGATTCAATCTCGACTCGGACCTGGTGCTGACTGCTCAAAGCTCGCTTGGCACGCTCAGCCTCTCTCCTTAGCTTGCCAATTGCTCTGTTGTCTTTGCTGATGTCCTTACCGTGCTTCTTCTTGATCAACTTAATGAAGTATTCCATGATTCTCTGATCAAAGTCCTCACCTGCAGTGAAAATCAAATAAGTTAATATGTTTAAGACAAACGACAAAAGTGTGTAAGAAGGTAGTCAATTTTTTTTCCTGGAAACTACTAAATTACTAGAATGCAGAAATTTATATTCTACACAGGAAGGAATCAGCCCATACTGCAAGTGGCTCATAAATAAAATATGCTTTTGTGGTAAAACTAGGAGATAAAATTTGCTAAAGAACAGTCAGCGGGTACTTTCTCTATAATGGGTATTTGGACCAGTTCAAATGACTTTTTATATGAAAGAATTCAATTTATTACACAATTCATATTTCATTATCTTATAACACACCCAACATGAGGCTTAGGCAAATCAATAGCAATTCAAGATATTTTGGACATCAACATATCAGGAAGAGGCTCAATTAGACACAAAAAGATTGCAGTTCGAACTACAACAAGAGATAAAGAACAAATAGCTTACCTCCCAAATGGGTATCTCCGTTCGTTGACAGAACTTCAAACACACCATTGTCAATGGTCAAGATACTGACATCAAAAGTTCCACCACCAAGGTCAAAGACAAGAATGTTCTTTTCACCGCCTTTCTTATCCAAACCGTAAGCAATTGCTGCTGCAGTTGGCTCATTAATAATTCTGACAACATTTAGACCAGCAATTACACCAGCATCTTTGGTAGCCTGTCTCTGGGCGTCATTGAAGTAAGCTGTAAAAGAGAAAGCATAAAGAATCAGTAAAGCTGCAATGTTCTCCATCTACTTTTAAGTTAGGACAGAACCAAACATTACCAGGAACAGTGACAACTGCATCCTTAATTTTCTTCCCTAGGTAAGCCTCAGCTGTCTCCTTCATTTTTATCAAGATCATGGCACTAACCTCCTCTGGACTGAAGACCTTGGTTTCACCATCTTTAATCTTCACTTCAATGTAGGGTTTACCGTCCCTGTTCACAATCTTGAACGGGAAAAGCTTCATGTCCCTTTGAACTTCTTTATCCTCAAACCTGTGGAATATCACTAGTTAGTACGACATGATGACACTAAATCAAGATTTTCTCACAAGAGTAAAGGAAGTAAAGAAAATTTACTTTCTCCCGATAAGTCTCTTAACATCAAAGACAGTCCTCTCTGGATTAACAGCTGCTTGATTCTTTGCAGCCTCTCCAATTAACCTCTCGCCATCGGTGAAACCAACCCATGAAGGGGTAATACGGTTACCTTGATCGTTTGCGATGATTTCAACATGTCCATTTTTGTAAACACCAACACATGAATAGGTTGTACCAAGATCAATGCCGATAACTGTCCCAATTTTAGGAGCCTCCTCTTTGGCTATGGCAAATGCAAATAAACTACCTGTTCAAACAAATCAATCACCACATTAATACATTTCCACTGATTGTGAAAGGCAATACCATACAAATAATATTTTGAGGCCTTTATTCCATACAAGACATGTATCAAAGTTTCTTCTAATTTGATACATAACAGATTAGACACCACCAACAAAATTTCATGATCCTGCAGTTACTGCAATCGGTTCACATGCTCGGGTCACATGCAAGGCGCGCATATTGAAAGAGATGTTTTATTTTGTGCCAAACGGAACAGCTGGCACAAGATACACATTTGGTGCCTAAGTACAGCATTGGATAAATCAAAGTTCACTACTGAATCCAATCCCAAGAAATAAAAGAAACAGCAACACTGAGCAAACACCCATTTCATTTTTTTCATTGCAGAGTAACTATGATATGTGTCTTACATTTCAATGCTGCTGATTTAAAACTCTACGACCTTATGATTTCTATTAATCTAGTACATTTCCCCTCTTAAATAGCAAGTGTAAGAAGTAGTTAATACAGCAAAAAAACAACTTTGATCCATCGTGATTCTTCAATTATGGAAAAAATTATTTGGCCATCGTCAACTTAGAATATATCAAAGAGTGAAGATACCATTAAACCACAGCAAATGAACTACAATGCTATGATTAACGAAAAGATAAAATACGAAGCAAAGAATCATTAGATCCAACCAAAGAACAGAAAAAAACTGATTTTCAGAACATCATTTCTAATTCCAGATCTGAAACAAGCATCCACAACATCAACTTCGATCCACATTTCTCGACGCAAAATATTATTAAAAAAAAAAAAAAAAAATCAAATTAACACTGCTATAAAGAAGAACAAAATTAATGCTACAAAAATCGGTAAAAACCTGCATCCAACAGATCGTAGATTCTTACCGACGATTAAACACACAGTTACCAACAATAAACCGACCACAACAAATCAATTGCAACACATACACAGAAATGTTGAAAATTCAGCTAAAGCAAAAGAAATCGAAAAATCGAAGAAATGCTCACCGATTAATACGATCCCGAACACAATCGAAGATTCGCGTCTCTTCAACGCACCAGCCATTGCTGCGAAGCTCGACAGTTGATTAGGGTCTTCTCTCTCTACCCTCTTTCCTTTTTTTAATATTTTCCTATTTTTCTTCTCTATTTCTCTTCTGAAATTCTGAATCTGAAAGAGAAAGAATGGAGAACTGAGCTTTATATATTAACTCCGATGCTTAGTGAACCCGTCATAGATGCTGACGTGGACCAATTATATCACGGCACTGAATCACTTCTCTTCTCTCCGCCTAAACTGGAGGTTATAAACGTAGAGATCGTGTCACCGGTGCTCGCTTGGGCCAATTAAAGAGGCACACGTGTCACTAGGTGTTGACCTGGACCAATAATAATTCGAGAGGACGTGCTGACCAATGCAGTCCTGTTGCCAGCTGGGATGATCTCAGCCGCTCGTTTCGTGAATCGAAAGATGAATTTCCCTTTTTACCCCTTTTTTACTTCTTACTTTGAATAGGTGACTATGGCTTTCTGGAGATTCCGCGGTGTCTGTAGATATGTATATATTTGTGGATTAAACTCATTTTACCCCCCGGAGGTTTTATCTCAACGTCAAACTAGTCCCAATTGTTTCAATTTATTTCAAATTCACCCTTATATTATTTTTTAACAAACCAATTGCAATACAAAAACATATCCAAAAATAAAAGATTAATCAATTAAAAAAAAGGCTGCGGCTATATGCAATACTCATTCCATTTGTGCAAGACCAAATTAAAGAAAGATTCCAAAAGATTCTATTTTATTAAGATGGAATGACAAGTATGCCCATAAATTAAATTGGCTTTTTTTTCTCATGTAAGACCAAATACAAATAATGAGAAAAAAAACAAAAATCGACACCAAGGTGTCGAAAAACTATGCCACAAATCAACACTTAAGCGTCGAATTTCATAGATAAAAATCGACATTGACATGTCGAATTTGTAGCACAAATTCAAATGTCGAATTTTATACCTCAAAATCGACATCTAAATGTCGAATTTTATACCACAAATTCGACATCTAAATGTCGATTTTTACCTGTAAAATTCGACCTGTACATGTCGAATTCGTTTGCGCGGGATTTTTTTTGGAAAATCGATATTCTAGCTAAAAAAACCCATAAATGCATACATTCTTGGGTTCTTCCATAGTAGAATCTTCTATTTTGATGTCTTCTGACTCCATACTTGCCATCTTTGTAAGATTTGTTGAGTTTTGATCATTTTGAATTTATAGGTTTTGTGGGTTAGTGGAGGAGGAAGGAGAAAGGTCTTGTGAGTTTTGGAAGATGGAGAAGATGATAGTTGGTCTTGTGGTTTTGTGGTCTTGTGATAAAGTTTTTTTTGTTTTTGAATTTTTGGTCTTGCATATTTGGAATTTTTTATTTTTTTAATAAATAAGGGTATTATAGTATTTATACATTGAAAATTTTAATTTGGTCTTGCACAAGTGGAATTAGTCTTGCATATAGCCGCAACCTAAAAAAAATCAACTAGTTATAGACATTGAGAAAACATCAAAGGAAATTAATCTATGTTCTCGAATAAAATCAACATTCAAATTAAAATCCCATCAATTCATAGTTTCTTTAACAATATCCAACAAACAAGCACAAAACAAGTGATAATATTGACGGGGCCATTAAATTATGCGAATAAAGTCAACATACGACTTAAAATCCGTTGAATTCATAGTTTCTTTAACAATATCCAACAAACAAGCACAAATTAAGGATAATATTGTCCATCAAATTCTGCGAGATTTGAAAATGGCCATCAATAGCTCGATATAAGTCATGCATAATCTTTTGTTCCATAGCCTTAGCGCATTTAGAACTAGCCAATTAAGAAATCTCAGATGTATTAGCATTACAAATTTGATGCATTCATCCACTCTCCTGTGAGTTCACAATTGCCGTGAGCAAACTTATTAATGGCGAGACAGACTTTTTTATTATGCTACTAGTACTTGTACGTGCTCGCCTCTTCTGCCCAGCTCTAGCTGGAGACGAATAAGAACTTTTAAATGCAGTCATCGATTCTTCAAATATAGTTTGTAATTGTTGTTAGCAAACATATTAATGACGAGGCAAGCATTTTTATTATGCTATTAACATTTGTACTTAACTATTATTTCCAATCCTAGTTGAGGAACAATTATGGAACGTAAAAATTCGATGCATTCATAAAATTCATATACTCTAGTTAAATGTAAACTCATAAGATGATATTTGGATGGTTCAACTTTGCAATAATAATAATTGATGCTTATATTTACAAATACCGATTCACTCTAATGATGATTTACATCATGCTACATCAGGTGAAATATATATTAATTTTTTTCTTTTATTATTTACAAATATATGAACACGTATATTGATGTAATGTGTGCAGATTAACGGTAAAAATCCACCCGATACATCATTCACTTCACTGAATGTAGCATAAGAAAAAACTTTTAATTATTACTATGATGAAGAGATTTTGAGATTTCAATAATTTAGTTTTGTAGTTTATAAATTATAATCATTGGAGCGAGTGAGTTTCACTCGCCTATCAAAAACACTATAGTAATGATTAAATGAATGTTTGAATATCTAATTTTTATGTATAATTTGAATCATGTACGTTAACGTTATGTATTAATTAAGTGTCCTAATTAGAGTGGATATTTAATTTATGGTGTTAAACCTGAGGAGATCAGGAAAATAATCAACGTTGTGATTTGATAGGTTAGGGCAAAGTACCTGGTCTGCGAAACACACGATAATATCTCAAGTTCATTGAACTATTATAAAAGCAGCGCAGGTTGAGAAAAAAAAAAAAAAAAAAGTAAATAATTATTGCAGATATATCATTTCCTGATTTCCACAATTCAAGTCCAGCTCTACATCCGCTCTTCCTCGCTTTCTCTCTCTAAACCAGCGCACTCAACTTGCGCTTTCTCTCTCTAAAAAACTCTCGATTTAGGGTTTTCACAGGCGCCGTTTTTGAATTTTAATCCGATCCGGAACTGGTTTATTTTCTACCTCTCATCAACATCTCCTTTCTCCAGGTAGTTTCCGGTTTAATTGATTAAATCTTTTTGGATTAATCTTTGTTTCTGAGTATTTGAATATATGTATATCTATATCTATATATTTTTATTTTTTTTGCGCTGAAGTGAAGTTTAGAAAACTGATGGATTACTGGATCTACTTGTTGGTTTGATCCGATTGACTAGCTACTACTCGAACCAAAAAAATGATGATCGATTGCGTTGCTTATGAAATGTGAAATTTTGGAAATTTGTAAGTTTTTGGTGTAAGTTTGAGGGATCGATTTTCCCCCTTCAGTTTAAACTTTTGTGGTACAATTCCCGGTGGATTCCTTCATGCTATTTTCGGCTGATTCACTTGTTCATTGATTTGATTGCTTTTGAATGTCTGTAGTCCATCTCTTTCCCATTGGAGTAGATTGCAATGACCACTCTGGTCAATAGTTTGATGGTTAAATGTGTTGGTCTTTTTGGATTCTGAAAAGTTTGACTTTGGATTTGTTTTAATTTTGTTATGTTTAGTGCGTAACGTTGCCCTGCATTAATGTACACCTAGCTTGTCAGTTCTTGTTTGAAATGATTTTAGTCGTTAGTGTTTATTGATTGTGGGAAAAAAATGGATCTTTTATCATAGCAATTGTAGCCAGGATTCTCATTTATCCATTTATCCTCTGTGCTGTCAAAGTTGAGTTCTTATGTTATTTTATCATACAACTGTGCAAAATGTTAAATATGACTTGCACTCTCACTGAATTTCGGGACACAAGAAAGGAAATACTCCATCCTATTACTGCACTGCAACTGTTGTATTCATTTATAAGTTATATTTCATGTATACAGGCTAATTATTCCCTTATCTTGCATTGTATTTTTTTAAAGCATATATATATATGTGGAAACCCTCGTTTTGCAATTGGAATTAGTTTCCATCACAAGTGACTTCTTAAAAATAGTGCTTTATATCATTACTTGGCGTGTGAACTGTTTCAGTTCTGAACTCGCTTCGGTACCTGATTCTAATTGTATTTTAATCTGCATACTTATGCTGTCAGGAAGAATATGGCTATGGAAGTCACCCAGGTTCTTCTAAGTGCACAAGCCGTTGATTCAACAGTGAGAAAGCATGCTGAAGAAACTTTGAAACAGTTTCAGGAGCAAAATCTTCCTGGTTTTTTGTTATCCCTTTCTGGAGAGCTTGCTAATGAGGAGAAGCCTGTTGAAAGCCGTAAACTAGCAGGTTTGATTCTTAAAAACGCTTTGGACGCCAAGGAGCAGCACAGGAAGTATGAGCTTGTGCAGAGATGGCTATCATTGGATGTGGCTCTGAAGAGCCAGATAAAGGCATGCTTGTTACAGACACTCTCATCTACCGCGTCTGATGCTAGGTCAACTGCGTCACAAGTCATTGCAAAGGTTGCGGGCATTGAACTGCCGCAGAAACAGTGGCCCGAGCTCATACTTTCCCTCTTGTCTAATATTCACCAGGTTCCACCTCATGTTAAGCAAGCTACCCTTGAAACGCTTGGCTACTTGTGTGAAGAAGTTGTTCCAGAGGTTGTTGATCAAGATCAAGTGAATAAGATACTCACCGCTGTGGTTCAGGGAATGAATGCTAATGAAGGTAGTATCGACGTCCGACTTGCTGCCACACGAGCTTTGTATAATGCTCTTGGATTTGCCCAGGCTAACTTTTCCAATGATATGGAGCGCGATTACATTATGAGAGTTGTGTGCGAGGCCACACTCTCAACAGAGGTTAAAATTCGGCAGGCTGCATTTGAGTGTTTGGCATCAATTGGGTCGTCGTATTATGAGAAATTAGCTCCATACATCCAAGACATTTTTAACATCACATCGAAAGCTGTCCGAGAAGATGAGGAGCCTGTGGCTCTTCAAGCAATTGAATTTTGGAGTTCAATTTGTGATGAAGAGATTGATATTTTGGAGGAATATGGAGGTGACTTTACAGCAGATTCTGATGTTCCTTGCTATTATTTTATCAAGCAGGCACTCCCTGCACTGGTTCCTATGTTGCTGGAGACACTTCTTAAGCAAGAAGAAGACCAGGACCAGGATGAAGGTGCTTGGAATCTTGCAATGGCTGGTGGAACGTGCCTTGGTTTGGTTGCCCGGACAGCTGGGGATGACATTGTACCACTCGTAATGCCATTTATCGAAGCAAATATAACAAAAGAAGATTGGAGGCATAGGGAAGCTGCCACTTATGCATTTGGTTCCATACTGGAAGGTCCTTCACCAGACAAGTTAACCCCTATTGTCAACGTTGCTCTGAATTTCATGCTCAGTGCTTTGACTAAGGATCCGAGTAGCCATGTGAAGGACACGACTGCATGGACTCTGGGAAGAATATTCGAATTTCTTCACGGCGCAACTGTTGAGACTCCCATTATCACGCCAGCGAATTGCCAACAGATTATCACGGTTCTGCTCCAGAGCATGAAAGATTCTCCAAATGTGGCTGAGAAAGCTTGTGGTGCTCTCTATTTTCTAGCCCAGGGTTATGAAGATGTGGGCCCAACATCACCCTTGACACCTTTTTTCCAAGAAATCGTTCAGTCCCTCCTTAACGTCACTCACAGAGAAGATGCTGGGGAGTCCCGACTTAGGACATCTGCCTATGAGGCACTAAATGAGGTAGTTAGGAGCTCTGGTGATGAAACAGCTCGCTTAGTGTTGGAACTTGTTCAGGTTGTCATGACTGAGCTGCACAATACACTCGAGGCACAGAAACTTTCATCTGATGAAAGAGAGAAGCAGAATGAATTACAAGGCCAACTCTGTGGGTGTCTGATGGTTATCATCCAGAAATTAGGGGGGTCGGAGCCCACTAAGTACGCCTTGATGCAGTACGCAGATCAGATTATGAATCTTTTCCTACGGGTTTTTGCATGTAGAAGTGCCACTGTCCATGAGGAAGCCATGTTTGCCATTGGTGCTCTTGCTTATGTAACGGGTCCCAACTTTGCAAAATACATGCCCGAATTTTACAAGTATTTGGAGATGGGTCTGCAGAATTTCGAGGAATACCAAGTTTGTGCTGTCACTGTTGGTATTGTGGGGGATATCTGCAGGGCATTGGAGGATAAGATTCTTCCTTACTGTGATGGGATAATGACCCTGCTTCTGAAAGACTTGTCGAGCAACCAGTTGCACCGGTCTGTTAAGCCTCCAATCTTTTTGTGCTTTAGTGACATAGCACTAGCAATTGGAGAGAATTTCGAGAAGTATTTGATGTACGCCATGCCCATGCTTCAGAGTGCTGCAGAGTTGTCGGCTCACACATCAGGAGCTGATGATGAAATGATAGAATACACTAATCTTCTAAGGAATGGAATCTTAGAGGCATATTCCGCGATATTGCAGGGCTTCAAGAACTCCCCTAAAACCCAACTCCTGATTCCATATGCACCTCACATCCTGCAATTCCTGGATAGCATGTACATGGAGAAAGACATGTTAGTGTTATTATTATCAGATTAACTTTTTTTTTTCTTTTCTTTTTTTTAATTTGAAGTCATCTTTTTGATTGTTTTCATGTATTTGGTGACAGGGATGATGTTGTGATGAAAACTGCAATTGGCGTCCTTGGAGATCTAGCGGATACTCTTGGAAGCAATGCTGGCTCTCTTATCCAGCAATCACTGTCGAGCAAAGACTTTTTAAATGAATGCCTGTCTTCGGACGACCATTTGATTAAAGCATCTGCTGAGTGGGCCCGGTTGGCAATTAGCCGTGCCATATCTGTTTGAGGCAGTCTACAACTCGCTGCATTATTACTTTACCTGCATGCATATGGTCTGTGTCGAGTCAGGGTCCAGGTTTAGACATTTAAGTCGGTGTCATGTCGGATCATTTTGCCATTTTCATACAACAAGAAGCCTTTTTACTTCTCGTTGTCACTAACTCATGCATCAGTGTCGTTGGGTCCGGTTCCTTTCTTTTGCCATGGAGGTTGAAGGGGTTCCTGGAGATAGTCTGGGCCGAGAATTCGACGACTCATTACTGGTGATTGGTTAGTGGAAGGCGGGTGGTTGATTTTTTTGCTGAATGGAAAAAACCGTTGTACTGGTAATGAGATGAGCCCCCGTTTCGTCTTTTTTGCTGCCAGCTTGTTGGGCGTAATGCTGACCGTACCAGAACGACAATTTTGGTTTTCAAGATACTTGAACCAGCTACTACCTCCGGCCCGGCATCTTTTTTTTTTTTTTTTTTTTTTTTTTCGTTTTTTGTAATTTATTTCTTAATTATACATTCTTTTTTTTTTTTTTGAATATTTAAAGGTCGGTCTGTGTGTTGCATTGGTCCAAACCATTTATTATCACAGTCGGGTTGCATACATTGTCATTCATGTCCCTTGTTTGAGGTGTTTTCAGTTCCTTTTTTCGTTGTCCGATTAGAGTCGAAACATACTAACCCCATCTTGGAGGGACTTTTGGTGCTGCCGGTAAAAAGAGTACAGGTTTTTATTATTTCTTCAATCTTTGGATCTTTTTTCTTTTCTTTTTGTGAAAGTGTAATCTATTTGGTTTGGAAGCTTCCAAGTTTGGGTTATATATATATATAATATATATATATAATATTGTGATGTCATGAAATAGTGAGGACATTGAAAAGATTGAGAAATAAAGGATTGAAGAATCTCTTGTTGCAAAGGAAGAGAGCATATGCCATATTGATATTGAACAGTAATTTAGTGACCTCCACATCATATTGCTAATGCTTGCTGCTGCATTTAACTCTGCACTGCACTCTTTGTGTGTGCATTTATAGATGGTCATGTGCAAACTCTTTAGAATTTATTCTCCGACGTTCTTCACCTTATCTTTCTCGAATGGCAATAGATATTAAATGTTTCGGTTGGGTAGATATTTTCGTTTTTCTTTTTTCTTTTTTCCTTTGTTCGGATGAGCAAGCTTTTAATGACTTTCCGAACCAAATCATTTAGTAAGAAAAAAAGTTTATTATTCTTATTATTATTAATATTTTCTTTGTTTTTAACTTTTGGTAGTGCTGCCACTAATGGTTCTCAAAAATTCAAACCATTACAAAAAAGAAAAAAAGAAAACTGGTATTAATTTTCTTTGGTAGGCCACTGTCCATTTCAATGTCCTACGAAAATAAAAAGTGATTAAAAGCCGAAATAAGAGGATCGGAGAGCAGCATTTTACTGTAGAGGTGGAGTTTTGGTACAATTTATTTACAAAGTCAATTTGCACTCACATATTCAAGGGATTTTGATATATTTTTTTTTAAATATATATATAAATATGTTTGGTTGAAACAATTTTAATTTAGCATGAGCTATTTGCCACATTGAGTTATAATAAAAAAGATTAATTCAAATTAAAGTATAAAAAAATATGATAAAAATGTTGAAAGCCATGCAAAGTTTATTATGTGCCCACTATTTCGTGTAAATTGAAAAATTGATGTAACATGCAGTTGACTTTTACATATTGGTAATGCAGCAAAACCATTATCATTTTTATCAGCTGCTATTGGGTGGGGTTGGCTGCCGCACCACCACCACCACACGCCCAATTTTTCTTGCTTATAAATCCACCCCCTTCTTTCACCCCCACTCTCCAAATCTTGAAAACCATAGTTTTTTTTTTCAGCTTTTATTTTTTATTTTTTATTTTTTGCAAAAAAAGAAAAAGAAAATAAGACCATGAATCCTAGGATAAAGCTGTGTTCTGTTGTAATTTTCCTCTTGCTTATCTTCCTATATGCAGGTGATTAATTAAGCTGAATCCCATCATTCAAGAATATTTTGTTTCTTGTCAAAATCTATATAACATTGGACGAAAACAAAAATTTTCTGATGTTTCGATATTTTTCGATTTTCGCAGGTACTAATGAGTTCGCCGGCATTAGTACTAAGAACCCTCTCCGTTCGTTTCACAAGGTAAAATTTCCATTTGTCGATTCGTTTGTTCTTTTTAATTACACACCGACAACTGAAATGTGTGGTTTTACGCTTCTTTCTCCGATGAATATATACTTTTTTTAATTTTAATTTTTTTTCCCGTAGGTACGATCCGAAGCACATTCAAGAAAGCTCATGGGGTTCGGAGCATTACTAGATTACGATTACGCGGGCCCCAATCCGAAACACGATCCGAGGGGGAAGAAAGGCGGTGGTGGTGGCAGCAAGAACCCTTAACATTATTATTATTACTATTTAATTTAATAAAAAAATTTATTGCATAAGCTTTAGATTTAGATATTAGTAGCATTTACTTTGATCTCTCTACCAATAATACTAATTAAGTGCAGAAATGAAATGAAATGTAATAACAAGTACTTAATCTTACGTAATAGATTGTACGAGAACTTAAATGGAGTACGATGCTTTACAACGAAAACTATACTACAAAGCCGTTATAAGCGTGTCGTCTTTTTACAGAGAGAATCGGCTGATAATTGGATGCAAAACAAATATACAAAGCTATTTACAACTATATATATATAGTCGGACATTTGCTTGTTCACGATGAGAGCAAAGTCGAAATCCATATTCCGAGTGTCACTAAGCTGATTGTAGCTAGAGCTTGACCAAATTCATAAACCGAATTTTCTTTCTGCACCGGTAAATTTCGCCAATCCGTTCGCCTGTCCAAAGTTTAAAAAAAACACGAGAAGCAGTCAATAATAGTAGAATACTATCAAGCCTTGTATGTATGTATATGTGTATATATGTACCCGAGATCAGCTATCACAATGCTGATGTTATCTTGTGAACGTCGGTTCTGCAAAACGACGATATAATTTTTTCATCTTTTTTGTAAAATTAAATCGAATAATGTTTTATCGTATGTGAGAAAAAAAACAAGAAAAAAAAATGTGTTTTATTACCAGAGCCATCTGTGCAAGAGCTTCGGAAGCCATCTACGGAAAAACGAAACAAGTTATTGCTGATGGTTCGACAAAATAAAAATAAAATATTTTTTTTATTACATTAGTTACCGAGCAATAGTTTTATTATTACCTGAACATCTCCGTGTTCTCGAAGGTGATTTCTGATAAAGTTGATAGCATCGGAGCTGAAACAAATGACGAAGAAGATCACGATTTTAAAATAAATAAGTTATACGCGGTCACTCAATTAGTACATCGATAAATACGGAAACCACGGTTTATTTAATTTTAACCTCTTAATGTAGTCCCACAATCCATCAGATGCTAACACTAGAAACTCGGTATCCGATCCGAGCTCTACTTGAAAAACATCGGGGGTAGCAGTAACCAAGTCCGCTTTAAATTTTATGCTGACAAATACAAAAGACGACAACATTTAAAATAAATAAATAAATAAAACACGGTGTCGTGTAGCAACTTATATACTCTTTCGACTTACCGAGAAGCAAATTTTTCAGTCCATAGGCCTTCCTCGACTCCTTTTCTCACCATCCTTCAATTTTCCACGAAAATAAGAACCATCAGATTCAACACATACGAATAAACTTACATTTTTGTGAAGAGAAAATAGCTTACTCGTTCTTCTTCGTCTTAAATCGCACGTCGCCAAAAGCACGTGACACAGATAAGTCCCCGCAGATTCTTCCATCGACAATCTAAACAAACGGATATAAAAAGATTTTCTTATTTTAAAAATTATTATGTATTTCCGAAGGCTCATTTTAGATAAAAACATACCCATCCACCAGCCTCTCTAATTCGCCTGATTTCTTGTAGAGAAGCTTTATTGTTTCCGTACGGCCGATGCGAGTCGGTCAAGATTTCGGCTTTCCCAGAGCGTGACAGAGCCTTTTGTATTTGTGAAGCAAAACAGATTAAATCGAGTTTTGCTAAAAATGAATTTATTTAAAAAAATGTTATTACGTAAGCTTACCACGCATGAATCACCGACGTGAGAAACGAAAAGCACATCGTCGCGGAGGAATGTGGCGGTAGCTGTTGAACCTGACTCTTCTTCTTCCCCGTTCGACTCAAGCCTTTTACCGAAAATAAAATCTTCATTACAAAAAAAAAAAAAAAAAGAATCCACACAGCATATATATATAATTAATTGTATTGAGACTGACTCGAAATTCGTTACCATTTCGAGAGTTTTTCGTCGGCTCGTTCGAAAGCCTCTTGCAACGCTTTCTTGATTGCGTTAAAATCCTTCCCTTTCAAGAGCTGCCCACCTTGTAATGCAGCCATACATTCTCTGTATAGTTCATCTCTACAATAAAGAATACCAGTAAAAAATATTAGATTAGGAGTCCAGTTATATTGCCCCTAGTTCTTGTAAATTACCGCCACCCCTGAGATATGATCAAATTACGAAAATACCCTTCATGTTTGGATAATTACAATTAGACACTCAACTATGAATCTTCTCACACGTCGACCCTTGCACTGTCAAATTTAATGAAATATTCTACATTATGTGGAATATTCTCCAGTTTGTACTCGTTTTATGCTAAGATGTATGTTTGCCCCATTCGAGCCCCACATTCTGAAACAAGATGATCGTAAGATGTGTTTCTTGCCTTGTAAAGATCAGATTGTAGTGCATCAAAAACTGTATTTTTGCACAAAGCGAGTACAAACTCGAGAACATTACACGGAATCTAGAAGATTCTTTAAATTTGACACCATAAAGGTGGACGTGAATTCAACAGCAAGTCGAAATCCATCTCAACAACTTCATCAAACACACACACACAAAAAGGTAAGAAAAAAAAAATCCCATCTTTTCTACAGACAAACCTGAGGAATTGAACAGAAGAGAAACCGGCATGGCCATCGAAAACAGCGGCGAAAGAAAACCCGTCGAGCGAATCGGACTGAACGACGACGACGTCATCCTCCATCTCTTCGCGGGCCCCCTTAAGCTGAACCGACCCCCATCGGATACCGGACACACTTCTGAACGAAGAAGGCGACGCGCCGTCTATCGCAATGGCGGAGCAGAGTATTCTCCCCTCTCCGCCCTTTACTACTATGTTGTTTTTGGTGGTTTTATTGGAATTATTATTATTATTATTATTATTACAGCTGGAGTTGCGGCGAATCTTGTTCAGCAGGAATCTCTGTAGCTGTGGGCTGCATAACGCCATTTTTTTTTCAATTGATTGAAAAATTAATAAATCAAAGTGAAGGAATTTTGTTTTGGTGTTTAGTTCTTCATCAGATGATGTAATTTTGATTGGTTGAGGTTTGTTTAGTGAAGAAGATGATAGGGGAGGAATGGAAATACCTCTAACTGAATTAACGGCTTAGATTTTGTAGATGAAAAAAATTTAACATTTTTATATATAATTTTTGTTTTTCAAAATATAAAGATGAAATTACAAAAAACTCCCTAAACTTAGGATAACGAATAACACCCCACACCTATTCGTAATTATCAAAAATACCCTGAGGTTTGTGTCGTCTTAACCAACCCCTTAGAATGTGACTTTTATTTCTCACCTATTTAACAGAAGATATAATAAACTGTACACATTTTCTGTTAAAAAACTCGATCAACATTTAATCATAGGGGGAATTTGGTTATTACGGATAGGTGAGGGCGTTTTTTGTTAATTAGCCTAAGTTTAGGGCGGTTATCGTAATTTAATCCAACTATAAAATGAAATATATATATGCTTTCACGCTTTTAGCTGCTAACACGACTTTAGTTTATACTGAAGTTTCAAAGCTCAAAACCCAGATGCTCTACCAAAATCAAAAGCCCTAACCGCCGTAGCCATCGCCACCGTCGGCTCCACCGCCACCGGCGTTTGTTGCGCATTTCAATAGATTCAGCGTCGTTTTTTCAACCGTACGTATCTAAGAAAAGAAAATGGCTTGTCTGCATTACGGAAAAAATATTCTGCGGCGGAGCTCGATGCACCACCCGTTGTTCTACGCGGCTCAAGGCGTGCGATACCGGAAGCTGGAAGTTATTCTGACAACGGTTAGCACCCAATCTTCACCGTCTCTGTATGCTCATCGAAGTTTTTGTAATACTTATTATTGTTCTGTTTTCCGTAATTTCTTCGGTAATTTGATTTTTTTTTTTGATAACTGCGTGTTGTTCGTGATCTAGACGATTAATAAGCTCGGAAAAGCTGGTGAAACTGTTAAGGTTGCGCCGGGGTATTTCCGGAATTATTTGATGCCGAAGTTGCTTGCTCTGCCAAATATCGACAAGTTCGCGCATCTCATTCGCGAACAGCGTAAGGTAGTATTTTCTATCCAACTCGCTAGGGTTACTATTTTCAGAATTTTAAGTTATTGAAGTGTCCAGATTCCCGTGATTTTCGATGGCTGAATGTGCGTCACTGCCAATCTGATTATGTTGTTGTTATACGCTTCCTTTAGTGATTATTTTGTTTGAGTGTTAACTTAATCGTTCATCAAATCTGTTATTCACTGGCATTTGCCTGGGGTTGAAAGAGCTGCACATATGTTATGGGTTTCTGAAGTCGTATTAATGGGAGTCAAAACGGTTCTGTTTGTGATCGTTTGTACGAGCAAGGCTTGTTGTACCTAGTAGCGTATTTCTCTGCCAATGTGGCAGTGACAAGATCAATGAATAAATCGAAGCAAAATCTCAATACCTTGTTATCCTCTAAAAGTTTGGTCACTTATCTTGCTTCCGCGTGTGCGTATGTGTGTGTGTGTGTGTGTCTCTCTCTCTCTCTCTCTCTCTCTCTCTCTCTCTCTCTCTCTCTCTCTCTCTCTCTCTCTCTCTCTCTCTCTATATATATATATATATATATATATATATATATATATATATATATACATTGCACAGACAAAATAAGTTCATTTGCGTAATGGAAATGGATAAATGGTCATCTAGTGAAAATATTTCTTAGTCCCTTTTCTGCTCTGTTTCTCACAAGTATTTCGTACCTTCACATAAATGTCTCTGTGTTTATCAGTTAGATCTGAAGCGTATATTTCGATCTGCATTTAGATGGTGATGATTACTTATGCAATCTTTTTCACCAATTTCTTTGATCAGATTTACCAGCCCGAGGAAGTTGAAGAGGTTAAAGTAGTTTCAAAGTCGGAGGAAATCAACAGTAAAGAGTATGAGTTTGCAGCGAATCGCCTTGCTAAAGCAAAACTGGTTGGTATTTAAAATTTTAAGCTTTAGTCTGCCAGATGGTATGTCTTTTGACAAAAGCAAAATGCTCAGCTTTATTTGAAATTAAGTATGTAAGCTATATTCGTAAGAAAAGATTACTACAATAAGATTTTGTTATTGAATAGTAATCAGAATTTTGTCTTCAATGCTGTCACTGAATCCATTAAACCTTTGGCCAGTTAATGTCATATCATGATTTTGTCAAATTTTGAGTAAAAAAATATGCAATTCAAGTTGAAGCTCGTCGTTTAAGAATCTCTGTTTATAATTGACATCTGCAGTTCCTAGTATAAGGTCCATAGGCAAGTTGTTGAGAAATGAAAATGGAGGGAAAAAGATTTTTAAGTTTTCATTACTGGTTATAACATGTTACTTCTCAATCGGTTTCTTTCTCATGAACTCGTGTTTCAAACTTTCAGAATATAAGAAAGTTCATCATAGAGGGAAAAGGCAATGAAGTGCGTGAACCAGTGACCAAAGAAGAAATCTTAGCAGAGGTACGTTTTTATTGTATATTTTTATATTTTTTTATGTATTAGAATTTAAAGAGGAGACTGAATAACTTTTCTTTGCAGCTTAGAATTGTAGTTTTTTTTTTCAGTTGATGGTCATCTCATTTCTATCTATAGTAGATATATAACACTGCACTAAAAATTGTACTTAAGTTGGCTTGTTACTCGTTAGGCAAATGATATAAGTGTTGCAAATCCAGTAAATGAGATGTAAACGATTTTCCCAGTGGTCACAGCTTAAAAGGCCTTCATTTGAAGTCGAGCTTCCCCATTTGGTCCATCGATAAACCATACACATTCTCTTAACAATTTTGTTTGTTATGAAGTATCCTGGAAAGTTATAAGCTAAACTCGGTTCGGAAGATAATAAGGAAGTTTAAAGACTCTAAGTTTGCTTCTTGGGAGTGGAAATATCCTTCAACTCCTAGACTTCTAAGCTTGCTTGCTCATAGGCTATCTTGTTAAATCACCTCGTTGTTTAGGCTGATAACAATTAAACCGGATAATTATCTAAATATGTATAAAAAGCATCAGCATCCACGAGGGGGTTGCCTACTAGTTTGTTGCTATCTTTAGTAATGTTAATCAAGCCTTATGCAAAACCTAAATAAACCAAATCGCTAGAACAAGATTTCTCATTATTGTACAGATAATTCCACTTTTGCTGTTTTTGGTCCGATCTGTATGTGAGCAAAAACTGCTTTTGACGTTGTAGCCTTTTCGTTGTGATTCGTCCAACCATAGACAGTGTCGGTTTTCTTTGTTACTTGGGGTAATACTTAGATGATGACAAATCTAACGGATCCCCTTTTTTTTTTCTAAAACAATCAGATTGCGAGGCAACTTCAAGTGCATATTGAACCTGAAAATCTGCATTTACCAACTGCTTTATCCTCTTTGGGGGAGTACAAGGTGCCACTACGCCTCCCAAAAGCTATACCTAAGCCAGCAGGCGAGGAGTGGGTCCTCAATGTCAAAGTTAGGAAAAGGTGAGGGACTAATCTGCAGCAGATAAAACGCTTCAATGATCAGAATTATGAACAGATTAAGCCTTTTAAGGATATTGTTTACGAATTCACGTCTTTTTATTGCGAGTCAGAGAGCGTATGATCTCAGCATTCGGTATTTTGTCCTCCAGTAGTAGTATAAGTGCCTATTTGATGATAGAAAATGTAAGGCTTTTTGTTGCGCAGTTTTCGAATGCTCAAATAAAAATACTGTCCTGGCTGAAGTGCAATTTACGTTCCTTTTCGTCTTTGTTTGGTGTGGCCTAATTTGTACCGTCTGCTCGTTTTAGTCCGCTTCGATCAACAACTATGAGTATATGTTTATGTTTTACAAGAACTTAATGCAATTCGTAAAATTGAATCTTGATATTCTAACTTGTCGTTTATTTATTTAATTGTTTTTTCTGTGTAACTACTAGATCAAATTAAAAGAAAACGTAATATTTGTTCTTCTATGCACATTCGGTTTACTATGTAGCACGCAAACTTCAACTTCTTAACGTATTCGTGTTTTGGACACGTTTTGTGTCGGAAACTCGAGGATACCTGGCGAACACCTTATGACCATTTTATAATTTCTGAAGAGTTAGAAAAATGTTTGAGTAGCAAATTTCCAAATATTTTTGTTGATTTTCTAATTATTGATATGATTTAATATCAATTTTAAATTGAAAATATTATTTATTTTGAAATATATATAAAAAATTATATATAAATAAAAACTTGTATACGTTTATTTATTATATTTATAATTTATAAATATATACATGCGGTTTTCCCATAGGGATGTGATAAATGTCGTTCGAGCATTAATAATACCGTTGTGACTTCAAACGTGATTTTGATCATTTTTAATTCCAAATTTTGCAAAACCCGAAAAATAGAATTTGTAGTATTTTGAGTTAATTTTCTAATCCAACTTGAATCACCAAAATTGGATGTTGGACAAGAAAGATATATATATGAATCAATGCTTACTGCCCACAACTTTGATGTATTGAGGTATCTAAAATTCAAAATGTGACTCATTCATGCATAACTTTGTCACACGGCATCCAATCTAGCGGATTTAAGTTGAATTAGAGGGCTAACCCAAATGACTACGGTTTTCGTGTTTCGAATTTTGCCAAAATCAAAATAGAAATATATCAAAATCAGATTCGAAGTCAAGACGACATTAGTAAAATTGAAACAACATTTAACATTTCAGTTTCACGCAATGTTTTGAAACCCGGACCGGACCGGCCGGTCGGACCGGTTTAACCGGGAACCGGACGGTAGTCCGGTCCGGTTGAACACATAAACCCGTAAGTATCAAAAAACCGGGTCACTGTCTAAGAACCGGAAAAAAATACGGTCGGACCGGGTGAACCGTTGAAGGACCGGTTCTTACAAACCAAGAAAAAATAAGAAAATCTAGGCAATGGGTGAGGAATCTTGATGGAGATGTTCGGAAAGGGGAGAAAATAAAAGAATAAGAATGACAAAAAGAGGGGCTGTGATTTCCGAGGGGGCCGGATATAGGGTCTGGGATGAATCTTGGACTGTAGCTATCGGAAGAAAATAAGAAGAAATAAGTTGCAGTGGAACTGGGTGGTTGTGGTTGTAAGAAGGAAGAAGAAGAGATATAGAGAGAGAAAAGAGAGGAGAGATAGAGAGGGGGCTTGGGGAGTGGGTACTGTCATAACATTTTCTCTTTCTTTGTATTACTCATTTTTTTTATTTTTTTGACTTTTTTTCACTGTCTCATTCTTTCACTTTTTTAATTAGTTTTTTTTTTTATTTAAATTATGGAATGTGTTGTTTATGTACATTTGTATTTGGTCTTCAGTATTTAATATTTATTGCTGGATAATTAGTTGAATTGAATATTTAGGTTGATTTTTTATAATTAGTAGGCTTTTTTAATTTATTTTTGCAATATTTTTATATTAAATTAAATATAAATAATATTAAAATAAAAATATTCAAAAACCCGGTTGAACCTCGGTTGAACCGGTCCAACCGTGACCCAGTTGGCTAGCCGGGTCAATGTCCGGTCCGGTTTTAAAAACATTGGTTTCACGTATCGTTGTTTCCTTGTCGGTGCTATTTCAAATTATTCTTTTTACTCGTTTATTTTTTTATTGTTTCACACAGGACAAAGAATGTAATTAACTTCAATGGTTAATATTAATCTTAAACGAGTCCGAGTATTGATTGCTAAAAGTTGGATCTCAGAAAGTGACTTCTCAATTTTGCAGAATACGCATTCAACAAGTAACTTCCAATGGAATGAAGCTCCTTTTGCAGGAAAAAATAAATCAAGCGAAACTCTGTAGCTCTCACAACTCCGATCTTCATCAGATTTCTTCTAATTTCTTCTAATTTGGGGGGAAAACACAGTAGAATAATGATCCAATTCGTAAGCCATGCCGATCAGGTATTTCTCTGATATTTCTTCTTTGTTCTTCAATTAAATTTTAGTAATTCGTCTTTTGTTTATTTCAATTCGTATGATCTATACCTAAGTTGCTTAATTTGATAAGCTTTAGATTTATTTATTTGATTTTTGGGAATTTTGTTCTGGGTTAAATTTTCAGCAGAATTAATTTCACTTTTCATTACTTAATGATGATTTCATTGCTCGATCCTTTTTAATTGCCATCGTTATTTTTCTATAATTTGGTTTTTAAGTAGGTTTAGTTCAACTGTTTCCTATTTGTTCTTAACAAAAGTGGAATTCGTGTTTAGCAGTGTTTTTTGTGTGTGTGTGTGTGGGTTGTTTGTCCTTACATAAAAAAACGTGGAAAATTCAATCTCTAATTCATGGCTTAATGTTGGCTTTCGTGGCGCAGTAATATCTGAAGTTTGAACTGTTTGTCAATGTCTACACATAAATCGAACTACGGTGTAAATTCCAGTGAGTCAGCATTTGGGTCATATAGTTTTGTCCATGACAGCAAATCATGTAAAGGTGATTCTTCAAGTCCCGATTTGGTACATGACACGAATTGGTGGTTTCATCACGGGCTTGGGAGAGGTTTCTCCCATAACCAATTAAACGTGCTGGATGTAGATGCGAAACTCATCGAGGAGTATTGCACGATATACTCCGAAAATAGTGCTGCTTTTTGTTCGGATTTGCCATTGGAGCATTTTTGTTCTCCTTGCAAAAGTAAAGGAGATAGTTGGTTGCAAGAATTCAAATCTACTGTAAACGACGATGTGGTGGGCTTGGACGCTTACAATTTCCCGCTCTTTGAACGGCCGAAGAAGCTTTATTCTGAACTGGATTCGAATTGGATTGGACTCAAGAAGATTGAACCATGGTGGAATGCTGTTAATAAAGATGATCTAACACCCTTGGTTTCTCAGACTTCATCTCACCATATTAGAGATCAAGACCCAGGAGTTCAATCCGTGCACGTTGGTAAAGAGACAAATGTCGTGGATTCTCGAGAAACTCTTTCGTCAATGGTAGATGAAGTAATCTCTTCTATTGATGACTGTACTCAAGGAAATCCGGCTTCTGTAAGAATGGAAAGATCACTGGGTAATAAACGAGGATCAATATTGGAGCGCAAACTGCAAGACTCCGATGGAACTTCCAGGTACGAAATTTGAACGCAATGGTTGTTAATTGTTATTCATGAGCTAGCTGCTTCTTGGATTTCTTTTGTAACGGCAGTTAACTTTATAGAACGTAAAATATACCATTATACGCTAACTACCCAAGCTCTGAGAATACGAAAAAGAACTCACTGCTTTTTTCTGGTTGTTTTATAAGTGATTGCTGTTACACACATTAATTTTTTAGAGGAACAATTCGTATGCAGAAGTCGTTGTTCGGAAAGTTTTATTACACCCAAAGTGGAACCATCGAGTACAAAAGAACCAAGCGATGATGTCAGCAGAAGTAAACTGCTAGAGGCACTCTGCCATTCTCAAACAAAAGCAAGGGAGGCTGAGAAGTTGGCACAGAAAGCCTGTGATGAAAAGGATGACGTCATCAATCTCTTTTTCCGACAGGCGTCGTGCCTCTTTGCTTACAGGCAGTGGGTCCGCATTCTGCAGCTGGAGACATTGTGCCTTCATCTTAGGAGCAAAGAGTACTCTTTTACCCCTCCGATTCTCTTACCTCGCGTTCGAAGTAAAGGCACTTCATTGAGGAAAATCCCGCGCAGAACTGCCAAAAAGCAAACGGCGAAACCGAGATGCAATCATATAAGCAGATGCGCGATTGCTTTTGCACTTGGTTTGAGTCTTGCCGGTGCTGGTTTGCTAGTTGGTTGGACCATCGGTTGGCTTTTTCCTCCCTTTTAGAGGGCTGTGTTCTTCTTTTATGCAATTTCTTTGTTTTGAAAAACCAATATTTATGTATATATCGTAAATTCGCAGGATGTAGTGGTTGCTCGTGTAAAATTGTGTAAGAAGAAGAAATGGTGTCCATTGTCGAATGTGTTGTTATCTCTGGTGCAGGTAAATCTGTGCTAGCCTTGCTGTAAATATTCACCCTTTAGATGGAAATTTTGTATGGATTGGTAAATAAATAGTTGTGGTGTTGTATTATCAATTTTAGCTTTAATTTCTTATTTCTTAGTATTTGAATCTGGCCTATTATATTATTTATACTCCACAATCAATTAGGGAACTTAAAACTGCAGATAATGGCACTACTGATCTTGATTTGTCAATTTGAAAAACAGAGTTGAATACTTTGATATTTTGAGGACAGATTTACATTTCGTTTCGAGAGGGAGGTGTTTCGGAAAATAAATTAAGAATAAAAATAATGTTTGTTTACGAATATGCCGAACAATTTTGTCATTCTGAGTAATGCATCTTCCCGTTGGACTGGCAGCACATTGTGTAGATTCTTGCAGCTCAATTGAGAGTTGAGACTGAAAATAAAAGCAGAATTGTATAACTCGTAAAATCGTAAAGCATAAATAACACTTTTGAGTCTCCTCTCAGTCAACATCACTTCGGCTCATTAATCACCGAAACTCGATTTGCCTAATTCGTGACATTCCCTCCCCCCTTACACCAGCCATGTCTCATGGCTGCAGTGAAGGGTATTTCTTCATCATCATCTCTTATGCATCCTCTCATATTGGCTTCTTCAACCGGAAGATAGGCCCAAGTTTCCAAGATGCTAAGCTTTTCATTTACGGCTCAATTTTCAATGTCACCTTTTTCTCGTCTAGACTCCAAAGGTGGTGGCACCAACAGCCCAATACAAAGCACAATCACCGGAATCCTAAGTTTGACCAGAATCACTTTGTTTTTGGTCAACTCTCTCACCCAAACCCCCAATCTCACTGGTTTTGAATTATCTTGTGTTTCCCTCACTCAAAAGTAGGTCTCACTCGCTCACTCGCTCACTGAAGAACAGAGATCTTAAGAACTAGGAAGAGATTCAAATGAGTTTTTTCTATCCCTCTCTCCCACAAAATGATTTGCTATACATATTGAAAAGAAGGATTGTCTCAAAAGTAGAGAACATAAACGGTACAACCATCGTCATAGTTAAACGACCATGTCACCGGAAAATGCCAAGACGCATTCAATGCGGTGGTACGACCAGAAGACAGTGAGAGTTTGAGAGAGAAAATACCTCGAACAAGTGGTGATGGTCGAAGTAGAGAGAACCGACGGTCAAGATTCAAGATCTAGAGAATTCTCAAGATTTGACCGATCACTTGGTCTTTTATGCTATTGGGCTTTTAATTGTTGGGACGCCTCAGAGAAAAACGAGTTAATGGGCTGAATTAATTAATCCATCGAGCCCAAAATCCAACGATCAAAATAAAAATTGGAAGCATTCTAAAATTCATTAAAATTGGAAGAACTATTATTTTGTTTAATCTCCAAAATGTCATTGTCTCCAATAATTTTGGAACATGATAATTTAATGCCTGGGGAATATAATGTTGCATCCCCCGAACCATGAAAGTTCCACGTATATAATACCAAAATTTGACTCAAATTTAATCTTATCAGGCTTCATTCATAGTACAAGTTAAACCGTACTCATCTTGAAAAAATCAATTTAAATCCTATTTTGATTCAATTCAAAAATGGTGGAATTAAATTATGCTGCACCATTATAGTCAATTCTCCCTGTTGACCTCTATTTTATTTATTTATTTATTTATTTTTCCCTTTTGGCACTTTGACCGTATCTTTTTTTTTTATGTGAAAATTTAGCACTATATATTTTACATAATTAAATGCGTAGATTAATTAAATAAAGTAGATAAAGTGCATTATTATAATTAATTTTTATGAGTACTTTCCTTCCTCATTCCTGAATTTGAAAATTTAATATGAATACACTATAGATGCATTTTATTTTTCTTACAATACTACAAATATATTTTTTTAATTTTTTTTTGAGAAGTACTATATATATATATATATATATATATATATATATATATATATATATATATATATATATATAAAATTGGATGCATGCAAATGCAGATTGTAGATACATGATTAGTATGAAAAAGAAAGATAATTGATGAGTACATTACAGCAAATACATCTGATGATGCAGCCCCCATTTTAATTTAGTGTGTGATTGGTAATTGTTTTGTAATTAATACACCATATATATTAAGTGTACTCCTTAATATTAATAATTCTAGTAATTATCGTAACCCCCATAATCGTGTGCACCAACTTCAATATCCATTTCATCCCAACATTTATTAATCCTTTTATTTATTTATTAATTATTTATTATTTATTTCTCCCCCAACAATTTATTTATATATATATATAAGCCACAAATCCAATTTATTTATTTTCACTCTCTTCTCCCTTCTCATAAGCACAATGGTTTCCAGAGCATATAAGTTGGATAATCAGAATGAAGCTGGCTGCAGCTTCTTCTTTGAAGAATCACCAAACCTCGGGTAATAAAACCTTTCGATTCGCTTACGGATTTTTTTTTTTTTTTTCCGTATATATAACCGGCGGATCGATCGAGAAGCCATGGCCGGAATTAATGAACTTTCTCGATTTCAAATCCTTTCCATTTTATTTCTTTTTATTAGCTAGTCTCTCTACGATCCTCGCATACTTTAAACGCATTCGTTGAAATAATTTTTTCCAAAAAATATTTAGAAACAAGTATCTAGTCGATGGATTTGCGTCGTGAATTCGAGTTTTCTGGGATTTTTTCGTGTGCTTTTTGGACAGCATTCATCTATAGTTTTCGTTTGAATTACACGTGTACGTCGTATATATAGAGCCGTTGACGAATTACTAATTTGGCTTAATTACTTGGATTTACATACCAATTATGCATTTCTTTTTATTAGGGTGGATAAATTGTGTATGTATACACACTAATTTGTCACTAACAATTACTTGTAAATTAAATTAATTAAATTTAATTATTTATTTTGTAGATACTCATCATGGGATCAACAATTTGAATGTGGAGAGGGTTTCAACTTTGGTCTATATCCTCTACTCGAATACTCCGAATCGCTTCCATTGTTTCATCATCATCATCATACGATGACGAATCATATCGCGCCACATGTCGAGCTCAACGATTTCGAAGAAATCGCAGACGATTTAGGGTTATGGGATTTCGACCAACCACCACCATTGATGCACAACAATATTCTTCAAGATCAGAACCCTAATCCTCCTACAACGATGATCGTGCAAGAAAACGACACTAATCATGCGATAATCGATCATCATCAAGAAAATGATGACATCATCGTTAATCCTCCTCCTACCACCGGATCAATGTACGGTTCGTCCACTAATAATCCACCACCACAACAAAATTTGGATGAACTAATACTCCCGAGCAATTCGAGTAGTATCAATATGGATGCAAGAAGAAACGGAGCGACGAGGTACAAATCTTCGTCGTTGAAGTTGGAAGAGATAAAAAAGCACTTCCACATCCCCATAACGAAAGCTGCAAAAGAACTGAACGTGGGGTTGACCGTACTCAAGAAACGGTGTCGAGAACTCAACATCACTCGTTGGCCTCACCGCAAGATCAAGAGCTTGAAGTGCCTTATCCGTAACGTTAGGGTACGTACGTAAATTTTATTACAACCTTATAAATTATATATATTTGTTATTTTTTATTAATTATAATTAGTTTATTTTAATTAATTGATATATATAGGAATTGGGGTTGACTAGTGAGATAGAAATGCTGGAAGAACACAAGAGAATGGTGGAGATGTTACCAGAAATGGAGTTGACTGAGAGAACAAAGAAATTAAGACAAGCTTGTTTCAAGGCCAACTACAAGAAGAGAAGGTCCCTTCTTCACCAACAAGCTACTGCTCTTGCTTAAATTAAATAATAATTCAATTATTTAATTATTTTTAATTAATTTATTATTAGTCTTTGATTAATTCATTTTTTTGGGGATTTTTTTATTTATTAATTGTTTGTTATAACAATAGGTGTTATGTTGTTTGATATTCTTGAATATTGAGATTAATTTTGATTATTATTATTAATTAGATGTGTTGCATGAAGGAAATAAAACAATTCTTTTTCAATTGATTACATTGTTGTTCTTTCTAATTAAAGTAGCCAGCAGTGTAGTCACTATCGCGATAGGATATGATTTCTATGGAAATGATACAACTCGTTATATGTATCGATTGTAATCAAATATCGTTCGATATCGCGATAAGATACGATATTATAATTATGATATTTGTTTTTTAGGGTGCAGGTGCATGACTTGTGCGCTTTTTTTACACATTTAGGGGTAATTCGTGTGATTTTCAACATATTTGGGGGTAATTTGTGCAATTTTCAGCACATTTTACTTATAACAATCGTGTTTTTTTCTTCTTTTTTTTTCTTTTAATCAATGCAAAACTACAAAAAAAAAAAAATGCTTCAGATAAAAGCAATTTATATTAGTAAATGTAATAAAACCGACACTAACATTCTAAAAAGTTGAAACTTGATATTAGATCTATTTGAATGAATGATTTCACTTTAAATTATTAATTTTTATATTCTTATTGTATTAATGTGATATATATTTTGTGCTACTTTTAATAATTAATTAAATATCTTACGAAACGATACGATAAATGATATGGTACAATATGTGGAGAAAACGATACGGCGATATATTCCGATACCATACCATAACAATTTATATATGTGCGTGTACTATATGATTTGAAGTTATTATAGTTGGTGGTTGAATAATTTATGGTAAACCTCAGTGTTAGGTTTTGACTTGGTCAACATATCAATTTACAAAAACAAAAAGAAAATCACTCAAAAAATATATAAATCAAAAATCTATATAATTTAGTAAAAGATAAGAAAATTTTATAAATTAATTTGACCGTGGTAGATAATTCAATTTCAATGCATCCTTAAACCAGAAAATCAAACCGGCGGTTCATATTTCAGCGGCACACACAAAAACACTCCGATGTTGGTATTCACCGGCGGCTACACCTCCACGGGACCGCCGCCTGCTTAATGGTTGCACATATATTAGCCTGTAAATGATCAAACAATCAATTTAAAAAAAAGAAATTAGATAATTAATTGATTTCCGAATCAAATTAAAATTAAATAGGTGTAAATTAATTACGACTTCATTTCACTTTGCACCCTCGAAATGTATCATTTCGCCACTTTACACCCTTGAAAATAATTTATGGTACTTTGCACCCATGAAAAATGTCTAATCGTTCAAATTACACCATAGTTTATTTTTCGGCCAGAATTTCCGTCATTGACCTAATTTTTGATAGTCAACAGTCATTTTTGCTCGAAAATACATTAACAATTTGCACTCTGAAGAAAAAAAAATCAATTGAATAGACAAAAATGACCGTATTGACTATAAGAAAATAAGAAAACAACATAAAAATTATGTCCAAAATATAGACTATGCTGAATAATTAAACATATTTTTAGAGTACAAAGTGCCATAAATTATTTTTAAGAGTGTAAAGTGCTAAAATTGTATATTTTGAGTGTACAAAAGTGGAATTAAGCCAATTAATCACTAACACGAAAAGAGTAGTTATTAAATTCGAGAAAAAAAACTGACCCACGAGTTAGAGTTTATGGCTGCCAAATTGAACAAGCTCCTCCTCCTCCTAACTCTTGTGGCATTCACATTCTCCTCTCTCCTAAAGAAATCGCCTAGCGTATGTGAAAAGTCGAAACTACCCTTAGCGAACTTCCCCTCCTCGTCGCTGAAACTCGCCCACCTTCCGGAATCGAAGTTTCTAGCACCGCCGTCCCTCTTCGACGGCCTCGCCACCTCCGCCACCGGTCCTTTCCGGAAAGAAAACGTGCACGCGAGCGACAGCGATCGGCCGACGTAAGGCCCATCCAACACGTCCGTCGGCGAGGACATTACGGTAATTTTAGCTTCATCCTCGTCGTCGTCGTGGTGCGGCATCAATCTCGGAGGCAGGTCCAGAGTACACCTGGAAGACGGCGGGGAGGAGGCTGCCGCCGCCGCCGCCGCGGCGGATCTAGGCTTTCCCGGCGCCTCTTCCCACCGAAACGGGATCGAAACCGAGGGGCGGAGCGGCGGCGTTTGCATCATGAGCAGTGGCTCTCGAATTGGCTTGGAGAATGGAAGTTTGGATAAAGTTAGTTTAGGTGTTGAGTTTGGTTCACATCGATCATCTACCTCAAAACCCATAGCTGATAACAACAAGCTAATTAAGTCTAGTGTGTGTGTGTGTGTATATATATATATACGTACATGCTTCTGTATGTATTGATTGAGGGGGTGGGGTGGTGGGGGTGGGGAGTTAATTGCAGTTGAACATGAGAAGGCTCCTCGTTTCAAGTCTTCACGAATAAAGAAGTAGTGGATTATATAGTAACGGACATATTTATATACAGGTCAAATTGCACATCACCCCCTAAAAGTTTCTAATTGTAACACTTTACCCCTTCAAAATGTTACTCTTGTTGCAAATTGTCTCGGTAGCAAAATTTGATGGATTATTCATCGGCATTTGAATATTTTTTTGGCACATTGCCACTTTATATGTTATTTTTGTTGCATATTACCCCTTAAAAATATTATATTTTTGCCTATTGCCCCTTTAAAATGTTATTTTTGTTGCACAATGCCCACCAAAAATTGGCTTCTGAGGCAAAGTGAAACCAAAATTATATTTTAAAGGGGGATTATCCAGTTTTTGAATGTTTAGGGGTGAAAGTGCGAAAATAGGAAATTTGTAGGGGGTGAAGTGCATTTTGTCTATATATATATGGTGTATAAGTTCTAACTTCCATTGATGTTTAAATGACACTATAAAATGGGCTTTAAATAAGCACATTCTTGTTTAAATTTGGTCAAATTTGAATAAATTATCATCAATATACATATACTTAGTTGAAGACAAGATATAAATAAATGGAGTCTTTATAATACATTTGTGGCTTGCTAATTAATTAATTGATGGAGTTTTTTTTGGCGAAATCTCTATAACCCTCAATTTAAACTAAAGTTTAGTTAAATTATTTTAGGGCTAAATACAGTTTGCACCCTTAAACTATAGGGGTGGTAACACTTACCCCTTAAAGTTACAAATGTAACACTTACCCCCCTCATTAATGAATTTAATGATAAAACTTTGACTTTGAATGATGTGGCTTTTTTTCTTCCCAAATTGTCCTTCTAGCTATTATATTGATGCATATATAATAAAATATTTTCAATAATATTTCAAAAACTAAATTTTATAAAATATAATAATTATTAAAAAAAATATTTTGATTTATGTTTAACTCTACATTTTAGTTACTATAGATCCTAATATAAATAAAAATCTCAATATAATAAAAAATATATTAAATACGTTAAACATTTGCAAGAAAAAAAAATATTTTCAAGACTTAAATGGCCAATTTTTTTTATGATAATTATTGATTTGAAAATTAATTTTAGTTACTTATATATAAATTTTAATAAAATAATATTTAAATATTTAGACGTTTAAATTATAATTTTTCATTAACTTTTGAATACATTTTGTGATTCTCAAAGTAAAAAGTGGGATGATTATATTAGAGTCATATACGCATTAAAATAAACTATATAAACTATAAAATCATAATTAAAATTCGAATAATCGTTAACTTTTTATTAGCTACAAATGAACACAAGATAAAACAAAAATACACTAAAATTCAATTTTTTTCATTCATAAATTTACAATATTAAAATAATAAAATTAAGTTTTGGCAAAGTTGTCGAATTTTTTATTATTACATATTCATTATTTATTTAATGGCTAGAAGGACAATTTGGGAAGAAAAAATGCCACATCATTCAAAGTCAAAGTTATACCTTTAAATTCATTAATGAGGGGGGTAAGTGTTACATTTGTAACTTTAAGGGGGTAAGTGTTACCACCCCTATAGTTTAAGGGTGCAAACTGTATTTAGCCCATTATTTTATATTGGATTTGAAATACACACATTTAAAATCATTTAATTCATATTATCATATTTCATACAACAAGTTGATGTGCATGGTCACATCTCATCTTAAATGTTTTTCTTATTTCTAACCCCAAAAATTGCTAGTGATGTGTCATATCATGTATGACATCTCAATTCATGATTTGTTATATATAAGTTAAGAATTTTGAAAAATAAATTATGTTAAACAATTTTTGTTTCTCAAACTGTTTCGACATTTGCATCTAAACAGTTATCCCAAATAAATGTTTTTGTTCATATTTGTTATTTTCATCATATTATAGGTCATATGTGCCCAAAGTATTTTAAGTACTTGAAAATGATAAAAAAAATAAAATAATGGCTCTCTCATTGTTTTCCGCTAAACTTGATTACACTTTTATTTCGACTCAAAAATCCAAGATAAAGGTTGATTACTGATTAGTGATAAAGTTTATCCTAATTGATATTCCATGTTCACAAAACACGTATTTGGTCCTTCAGGTTTCAACAATTTGACATTTTTTTGTCATTTTCGTTAATTTATCGTTACCCTGTCAGTTAAGAGAGTGATGGACACATGCTTGATTCCGTTAGTACGAACGAAAATTGACGTAAATAACAAAAAAATGTTAAACTATTGAAACACGAGGGACTAAATATATTTTTTTGTGAATATAGAAGACCAAATGTAAGCGAGTAAAAGGGTAATTTTCCGGGTAGTTATTATATAATTATTAATTTATAGCAGCCCAAAATCGACCGGGCTATGAGTTTAAAATGATAGGCCCAATCCAGAATTACTTGTGAGTAAGCCCCCGAACTCAGTTGAGCTCATTTTAGGTTCATATTATTTTAATTATTAAATTTAAAATTTTCGTTACAAATTGATTGCGATTTGTTCGACCCTATACCCAGTGAAAAATACCGGGTGAGTCTTCTGCTGCCACGTGTCTCTTTTTTGTATTTTATAATAGATTCCCAGCTAGGGTTTACCTTTAAGGATTTAAAAAAAAAAAAAAAAAAAGCGTGGCAGCAGAAGACCCACCGAGTTTTTCACCGGGTGTAGGGTCGAAGGAACCATTGATTGCCAACCGGAGAAATTATTTTATTTCATATTATCCATTACTTTAGAAATTCTAATAATTAAGGATACATGTTTTTTTATTTTAATTATTCCAAAATTCGCTTATAATATTCATAATTTATTTAAACATTATTTCTCACATATAGAAGAAGTAAATTATTAGGCCGCTGCATGGGTGAAGTCAGGGCCGTTTCTGAGAATTCGGCGGCCCTAGGTGAGGTTTTAAAGAACAACTGAAAAGAGGGCCCCTATTTGATAAACCATATATTTTTTTTTATTAATGGGTGTTCGAAATTGAATGTATTAAAAAAGTATAAATAATATTTTCTAAAAATAATGAAATAAAAGATTATGGGGGTTCGGGGGGCGGTGCCCCCGAAATATTTTTTGAAATGTATGAATATAAAGTAGCTAAAAATGTGGTAAAAAATAAAAAATAAAAAATATGATTTGTTGGTTCACTTCTCCGGTGACGTATAATCTTTATAGTAAATAGACTTCATAAATATTTATAAACTTGAATACACTAATCAATATTGATTCTTATTTTAGAATAAAAATAAGTAATTAAGACATTATAAATGTAATATTTAGGGGCCCCAAAGTTAAGAAAATTACAAAAAATCTATTGATCATTTAGTTTAAATTTATTTTAGAATCGATATTCCAAAATATTATATATAATATTTTTTTAAAAAAATAAGTACTAATATATAAAGTGTAAATAAAATAATTTGGGGCCCCCAAATTTTCGTAAAAATTCGGGGGCCCTAGGCGACCGCTTACTTCGCCTCCCCTCAGAACCGGCCCTGGGTGAAGCTCAATTGGTTACGGGTGGTAAGTTGGTACATGGTAAAACTAATTATTAAACATTTTAGTTACATTGTATAGATTATTTCTAAATATATAAATATTTAAAGTGGAGGGAGTTTTTTTTTTAACTTAATAGTATTACTTAGATATTGTTTATTAATCACGTGTTGACAACGTGATCATAAGTTCTATTTTTGCAAGTGATATTATATATAATTTTTTGAAATAACTGAAAATTAATCTATAAAATCTTTTGTGCAGTATAAAAGGTGATTTAAATTTTAATTTTTTACGTAATTTATGGATATATATAACAGGAAAAAGATGACTTAAAATATTTTTACCTTATTTAAACAAACAAAGTGATATGCTAAATCCCACACTAATTTTACCAAATCATACACACAATTGAAAAATTTTCTCCCTAAAATCTCATCTTCTCCTTTCCCACCCTTCTTCTTTTTCCCTAACTTTTTCACAAAACCACGCACTAAAAACGTCCATATCATTCCAAGTTCGAATTTGAGAAAAATCTTCATGTGTTCAAACTAAAATAAAGTTGGAATTTGAGAAAAAAATTCGAATTAATATGAATTTAAATAATAAAAAAGACATAATGAAATTGAAAAATATTAAATATAATAAACCTAAACTCACTTTTTATGATTATTCACGTGAAAGATTAACGGATTTTGAGTGACATGGAAAAAATCATCATAGAAAAAAGTTAGAGAATTTTTTTTTTTTTTTAATTTATGTGTGGGATTTAGTAAATTTTAGTGTGGGATTTAGCATGCCCCTTAAACAAAATATGATTTTATATTTTTAATCATCCAATCAAAATTTATTATTAAATAACTAAACTTGCTTAATTCAAAACTATAAATAAATCCATTTACCCATCATTTTCTATATCACAGTAAAAAAGTTTCGACTGCCATGGCGAAAGTAACCGCTCTCTTCCTTGTCCTATGTTTCTCCTGCTTCCTTTCCGATGGCTTTGGTAGGAAAACCCCATCGGAAACCGACTCTTCTGCCGCCGCCGTCGGTGGTATACAATGGCCGCCTAAGGGATGGCCTAACTGGCCTTTTGTTCCGCCGCCGATCCCCGGCGGCGGATTCCAATGGCCGCATTGGCCTTTCGTTCAGCCGCCTTTGCCCGCCGGTGGAAGTTGGCCTCCCTTCCCACGGTGGCCGCCGCGCGGCGCAAAAAGAACCCATTCGGCGGCCGCGGCGGCTGCCCCCTCTCCCACAGCTTGATGATTTTTTTAGAGTTTTACTTATATTTACTTCCTCTCTGTTCTGCATTTGAATTTTCTCAGAGTAAATGAATTATGTTTTAATCTCCATATTGATTATTTATTTTTTGTCATTTTAAAAATTTACCTTAAATTGTAAAATCCAATTAGAAAAAAAAATAAAAAAATTCTGAAATGAATTGATATTACAAAATAACTATCTTCTAGATAAATGGAAACCATCACATGCAAGAGTTCCTTCAAGATCTCCGATAATTCTCGATATCCGTACTTCGAGCCCCCTCTGCACTTCTTGAAATAGCTTTTTTAAGCTATCGGCAAATCGCTCAAAATCGAAACTTTCGATGTCTTCCGGACCAACAAAACCGGACGCAATCTTTTTTTGCACGTCGATTAGTTTTTGACCCGTTGCAACCATATACCTCTGTATCTCGAACGTTTCTTCTAGAAAGTTCTCCATCCTTTTCGTTTCAACGTTGGCATTCAAGTCCAGCTTCTTCGCATGCTGCATCTCGTCAAACACAACACCGATTTTTTAATCGTAATAATATGAGATCGATTTTCAAATTAGTCGATCAAATTCTTAAGTAAAAAGAATATACCATTCTGATGCAGAGATGATCTATCTTTCCTTCGAGAGATTGGTACCGCTCGATTTGTCTGTTCATTAGTGATGTGAGCGAGAATAGTCCGTTCGCCCCGTTTTTGTTTTTTTCGTTTTCGTCGGTTTCTTTCTTTCCCGTGAGCCTCTCGAGCATGAGAAGCTGCTGCTTGAGTCTCTTGACCTTATACGAGACTCCTAGTGCTTGGATATCCATCTTCCACGTAGAATTACTTTCTTGCCCTTGTTTCGTCGTCTCTTCATTTGGAGATTCGAGTGTCGAAACAATATCCATTTCCTCTGCAATGGCTTCCATTTCTTGTTGCCTTGGTTTCGTTTTGACGATCTTCACTTTCGACCAATTAACTGTGTTGTCGTGTGGAGAATTTTGGCGGTGATTATTCTTTGGAGGACTTAAATGTAATTTCGTCAATTTCGCGTTATCCTGCTTTAGCTTCTCGGTTTCGTGATTGAGATCTTTGATGTGCGATTGCAGCTTATTCGACTCGATTTCCATGCTCATCAAACGGTAACCGAACGCTTCCAACTTTTCGTCTTTGTGCCTCAGTTGCTCCACAAAAGCTTTAACATTCTCCCCTGTCAAATCTTCAAAGATAAAAAAAAAACGAAAAAATTAAACGAAAACGCTAAATTCAAGAAATAATTACGCAGACATCGAAATTCACCGTGTTTATTAGACTCGGATATCGCCTTCCACCGAGCCGCTTCCGCCTCGGCCTGCTTCCGCTTCGTCTTGGAAGATTTCAATTCCTTAATAAGCATTTGTTTCTCGGCCGTATCGATCTTCGATTTCGTCAGCATTGCCGTAAGAATCTGGTCCTTGTGCTCTAAATCCTGGTGCATTTTAGCAACCTCCATTGTCAGCCTCTGGTTGGTTGCTTCGAGCTCCATGAAAGCTGTTTTGTGATCGGCAATTTCGATACGGTGTCGTTTTGCGTCTTCCGCCATTTCCTCGGCTAGGGTTTCCGCCGCCTTCAGTTTCTCTCGGAACGTAACCTCCGTTTCTCTCAACTTGTCACTAAGATCGGCGATTCGGCGCCGGAGAATCTTCCGGTGGTGGAACCAGGTCTGCTCTCTGGCGGCGAAGATTCCGACGACTTTCTCGTTGGCTTTTCCGTCGTCGGCTCTCGTTTTCTTCAGCTCGGATATCTGCTTTTCTGCATCCTCCAGCTTTTTCTGTACAAGTTTGTTTTCGTCGCTAATCGCCACGATCTCCGACGAATTTCCGTCGCAGATTTCACGCTCCGGCATGAGTTTGAGAGCGAGGAAAGCACCGAAAAGCATGGGGTAAAAGCTGCCATTTTTGTACTCAGATGCATCAAACAAAGTATCCGAGACACCATTTTCATCCATAATTTTACTCAAAATTACGAAATCACCCCTCCTCTGAACAATGCTATAAAACCAAATCAATTAAATTGAACCCAAAAAAAATATATGAACAGAGGAATTTCTTACAAGAAGTGGGCGGGGATTTGAATAAAATTGAATCTCAGCTACAAACTTTTATCGAAATTAAATCAGCTTTTTTCAAAAGCAATAACAATAAATGTTCTTTTTTCTCAAGCTGGTAATTTAATACTCTGTTTATTGTTGAAGTACAATTTGATTTAATTTGCCAGACAACACCAAAAGCATGGACTTTTGACACGTGTGAAAATTAAAAAAAAAAAAAAACCCACAGTTATAAATAAATAAATGGGTAAATTACAAACACCCCCCTGAGGTATGGTCAAAGTACAAACTGGCCCTCTTGTTTGGATAATTACAACCACCCCTCAACTCCTCAAATTTAGTGGAATCTTCGAGATTATATGGAATATTATCACTTTTGTACCCGTTTTATCCCATTCAAACTCTACATTATGAAGCAAGATGATCATAATATGTGATTTTTAGCTTGTATATATCAGTTTGTGGTGCATCGGAAACTGTATTTTTACACAAAACGAGTACAAACTAGAGCACATTTTACGGAATCTAGATGATTATGTTGAATTTGGCACCATAAGGGTGGAGGTGTAAGAAAAAATCATAGTTGAGGGGGGTAGATGTAATTATCCAAACAAGAGGGGGGGTTTTGTAATTTGACCATACCTTAGGGGGGTGTTTGTAATTTACCCTAAATAAATTAATTATCCAAAATTTAATTTTTTTTGTGCCCTTCTTCAGTTTTTAATTATGAAAGTGGGGAGCAAAATGGGCTAGATTACTGGAATTTTTTGTCACCATTGATGAAAATTCTTAGGAAATTGAGGAACTAAATAATAAACCCAAATATAATAAATAATAATATTACATCATCTCCATAAATTAATTAAGTGTTTCTTGTTGTAAATAATAGTAATAAATTGTATTATTTTGAAATTACTAGTTTGGCGGTCCATCTCTTTTTGTAAATAGCCCCACAACATGTTATGACTTCCATGCAGAAATAAGAGGTGTTGCCATATTTAATTACGTGAGGCATAAATCAGTTGCACTGATATTCTTGTACTCAAATATCATTTTCTCGTTATTATATTTACGGCTATACTAATTAATTTTATGACAAATTACCGTCAACCCCATAAGTAAGTTTAAATTAAAAAAACCCCATAATATTTGGGTAATTAAAATTATTCCCTCAACTATGATACCTGCTGAAATAGGGATTTTTTTATACTACAATGCATAGTTAAGGGAGTGTTTATAATTACTCAAACCAGAGGAGTTTTAATTTTTTTTCGTAAGTTGACTCTTTGCTGTAAGAGATAACCGTAATTTACCCTTAATTTTATCAAATAATGTTATGGTAGATATCGCATCAAAATCCCTTGGCTTGATTCATTATGAAGTAACTATATATTGTTCTTGATAGTAATATACGGAGGTCAATCAAACTTATCAAACGAGGCTCGTGATGCACAATAAAGTATTAGGTTTACGCGATTTTCGACTTCTTCCAATACAATAATGAAATATTCATGATTGATTTTGAACTGAAAAATAGAAACCACATGGAAAAAGATATGTTTTTGATAGGGTGAGTGCAAGTGTTACCTACTCTAATAATTCAGCTGGTAGTGTGTATTATTAATTTAGTTTCTTGATGCACCACAAGAACATTGCATTTAATTTACATGGACCACAATATCAGCCTACCAATACATATACATATATATACCCTAATCTATATCTATTTTTCTATCTACAAATAAAGTGTAATAAATATTTATGTCGGATTTTGACAACAGAAGGAAGAATATCTCTAGTGTTTTTTAACAATTTAAAAGAGTGTAAAATAATGTATACCATTATTGAGGAATTTTTTGATGTTCATATATGTAATTTGAACTTTGACCGGATCCGGTTCGGATCCATGCAGATCGGATCAAAAAAGAACTAGGATCCATGAATGGATTCAATGTAGATCGGACTGGGATTCATCCAGATGTGATTCGTATGGATCCATTACGTCTTTAACTCAACTCATGTGGTTTAATAGTTCAACTTATATTGTTTAATATACCAACTAACACTGTTCAAAATCTATTATACTCAACTTTAACGTACACTTATACATATTTACGCGCGCGCACACACGCGTACATACACTCCAAGAGACTTTTCACACACACTCATGATGAAGCCATACAACAAACCTGGTGGGCCCAGTTACAAGGATAACTAGGGATTATATATATTACTCATGATTGGGTGAACTTTCTGAAATCTTTAAAGAGGGGGGACTTCTTTCTTTTTTTCTTTTTTTTCTTTTTATAATAAGAAATAAATGCATTAATAACTTAAGGAAAGAAGGGCCCACCAGAAAACCAAGATGTTGAAGTTGATACTCCATTATCTACATTTGGACCCTTAAAAAAACTGCATATAATATATTCCAAGTCGGTCCAAGGCCCAATTAATCTTTAGCATGTTCTGCCATTTTTGAAATTTGGCCCAAACTAAATATTATTGGAATTAAGTTATTGGCCGAAGGCCCGAAACAATCCCCTCAGCTAGACCTGATCACCGGTTCGGTTAGAACCGGAACCGGAACCGAAACCGAACCGAATCGTGGCCAGGTCTACCCTCAGCTATCACAATCAACTATGAATCTTCTTATACGTTCGCCCTTATGGTGTCAAATTCAACAAAGTTTTCTTTTAGATTTCGTGGAATATTCTCTGGCTTGTACTGTTTTGTGCAAAAATACAGTTTCTGATACACCACAATCTGATATTTACAAGGCAAGAGACACATCTTATAATCATCTTGTTTTGAAATGTGGAGCTCGAAAGGGATAAAACGGCTATAAACTGAAGAATATTCCACATAATCTAGAAGATTCCATTGAATTTGACCACAAGGGTGGACGTGTAAGAAGATTCATAGTTGATGGGTGGTGGTTTTAACTTGTAACTACTCAAATATGATGGATTTTTTTTGTAATTTAACTTTATGTCTGGAGGTGGTCGTAATTTACCCTCTGTTTGTAATTTAGCCTTGAAATTGTGAATCTTTCGGTCGTTTACTTCTACGCTTTGATGTTGGTGTCTCATTTCTTATTCTTAATTCCCTGAAAATCGTATTCATGTGGCAATGCTTCAGTTTCAGGATGTTCAGATATCCACATTAGAGCTCCTCATCCAAGCATCCCTATTTTCATACATACACCTCACCCTCCAGCCGCACACTTGGCGAAACCTCATTGGTCAATCAAAACAACACACTCACTCCTTTTAGTGGTGATAGATTAGCCAGTGCCAAATGGATATTCCAGGTCAAGATTTCCAAATGCCACATATGATTATTCATAGATAAGGGCTCTCATATCTACTAGCACCAATTCATATAAATACCTTAACTTGCCTTCCTTGAGAAATCAACCCAACAAACATTCTTTTGCAAACACAAAGTCTTTCCTTTGTTAATTACAACAATGACTGCCTCTTCAATGGCCCTCTCTTCCCCATCTTTCGCCGGACAGGCAGTGAACCTCTCCCCCGAGATCAGTACCGCCAATGGCGGCAGGATCTCAATGAGAAAGACCGCCGCCAAGCCTAAGCCCGCTTCGTCCAGCAGCCCATGGTACGGCCCCGACCGTGTCAAGTACTTGGGTCCGTTCTCCGGCGAGGCACCTAGCTACCTCACCGGTGAGTTCCCCGGTGACTACGGCTGGGACACCGCTGGGCTTTCAGCCGACCCCGAAACATTCGCCAAGAACCGTGAACTCGAAGTGATCCACTCGAGGTGGGCCATGCTTGGAGCTCTCGGGTGTGTCTTCCCCGAGCTCTTGGCCAGAAACGGCGTCAAGTTCGGCGAGGCGGTTTGGTTCAAGGCCGGATCTCAGATCTTCAGCGAAGGCGGGCTCGATTATTTGGGCAACCCAAGCTTGGTCCATGCCCAGAGCATATTGGCCATTTGGGGTGTCCAAGTTGTTCTGATGGGAGCTATTGAGGGCTACAGAATTGCCGGTGGGCCCCTCGGTGAAGTTGTCGACCCACTTTACCCAGGTGGTAGCTTCGACCCGTTAGGCCTTGCTGAGGACCCGGAGGCTTTTGCCGAGCTCAAGGTTAAGGAGCTCAAGAATGGGAGACTTGCTATGTTCTCCATGTTCGGATTCTTCGTTCAGGCCATTGTCACCGGAAAGGGCCCGTTGGAGAACCTTGCCGACCACCTAGCGGACCCGGTTAACAACAACGCATGGGCCTTTGCCACAAACTTTGTACCCGGAAAGTGAAATTGACATTCAAGAGTGTAATGAATTTGGATTGGCTAAGGATGAATGTAAAGTTATTGTGGATTATTGGAATGCTATAATTAATGTGAATGTGCTGCATTCATATTAGCATAAACTTAAAAGAGTTATCTTCACACAAACACAATAATAGTCATATACATAATTTATGATACTCGGAATATCTTTCGATCCATTTCATCAACAGGACTTCTCTGTAAGTAATGTGTATGTATACACAACTTCAAAGCATTCCGATAAATGAAAAGGAAACATCATCTATATATATATATCGATCGATCAGCATTCAACATATCGTATGGAGTAATAATTAACATATAATTGATTGGGAAGGAGCTCACAGTCGTTTATTCAGCTGCGGATGCATTTGAAGCCGCTGCAAATCCACAACCAGACAACAAACAAGATCACGCAAATGACGAAATCGAGCGACAGAATAAACCAAACTTGCTTCTTCCAAATCTTCTTTGCATTTTGGTGGCCCAACAATTCTCCAGAGTACAAAACCCCACTCTTGTTGCTGATCGATAATTCGCCGCTCGATCCGCTTCCGCTTCCATTTCCCCCACCACTGCATTCGTCGTTCTCCTCCTTCTTCACCCCGTTTCTTCTTCCGAAATTGAATTCCCCAAGCAACCTGCTCTTCATCTTCTTCAACTCCTTCTCCGAATTGGGCTTCGGCCTCCCCCTTAACGGACCCGAACCATATTGCAGGACACCATTTTCGCCCAATCTCTGCCCTCTGGGAGATCCGATTCCGTCCATATGGACCCGACCCGACCCTAACAAGTGACGGAAAACCGGATTGAATTCACCCTGATAGCAATGAGAACTCAAACTCTCCAAACTCTTCTCACCCTTGGAAACCCCAGCGAACGCGTCCCTCACGCTCCTCAAAAACGCCAAACCCTCGGATTTCTCCAATCTCTCGTCGAAGATCGCGAAGTAGACGACGGGGTCGTCGATCAGGAACGCGTAGGTCTTCGACCGGACGGTGTGGGTGAAGGTGGCGTGGAACGGCGGCGCTTCGGCGAGGCATTTGGCCGCGATTGCGCCGAGGGCGGCGTCCTTGGAGTTGAATTCCGCTAGTACGGTTGTGCCCTTGGCGATGCAGGCGTAGTGGATTAGATCCGGATCCGGATTCATTGCTTTGACCCGACGAGAACAGGAAAAATCATCAAAAAAGGTTCCTTTTTTTCTTCTTCTCCTCCCCCTCCCCTCCCTCTTCAATTTTTCAGAAAAAAAAAGTAGAGATTCAAATAGCTCGTTGATTCAGACTTCGGAGACGAATGTGAATGCGTGTGTCCATGGAAATCTGTGGGGGTTCTGAAAGGAAGATATTTCTAGGGTTTGGGAAAGGGAGACAAAACCATCGGAAGGGATGATGAACCTTTGACCTGGCTGGCGAAAAGCAACTGTTCCTAACGTGGTGCTGAATATCTCCTCTATCACATGTGCGCTTCTATTGCTTTAATTAATTTTAAGTTATTAAATTATATTTAATTCATTAATTACTTAATACATTTCTCAGATTTAATTTTATTTGGACAAAATTGTAAGGATTAAGTTATATTGAGGTTGAATTAACAATATATGTACAAAGAAGGGGTTAATGATAATGAGCATTGTCATGGCCTCGCACAAATATTGTTAATTTTAGAAATATTATTTTAAGTCCTTTATACAATAAAATCGATTTTACCTAATTTTATGAATTTTATTGCATTTTTATTATTCTTTAATAGTATTTCAATTTTATATAAAAATGCAAAAAACAATAAAAAATTAAAAATCATTATAGATTAGCATTTTTTCCCCGTGGATGCATGGAAATTATTTAAAAAGTGAAAAAAGTAATCAATTTAATACATAATAAGAAAATATAGTACATAGTAAAATTTAATAATGTGGTATTACTCATATTATATATAGATCCGCTCAAAAACCACCTTTGAGAAATTAACAGAGCAGCTTTGAGAATCTGGGACTTAGCTTACCACCGCCATGTTAGCGCTCTGACGGTCAAGTCAGTAATTAGAGGTGGCTTTTAGGGGATGTAATGTAAATTAAGAGTTTTCTTGCCCTTACCTGCTAAGTGTAGGTGGGTATTTATAGTGTTCTAACCAGGACCTTGCAGAAAAACTGGGCACGCCGTCGGGATGACTGTCTTTCCACCTTTATCGGGCGGCGTTAGGCATCATTTTTCTCGAGACGGCTACGACAGTCTTTCTCCTGGTTTTCCGGACTAGCTTGGTTGAGGAGCTTTTTTATCAACGGCGGCCTTTTGGTCATTCGAACATTAAATGCCAATGTCAGGACATTTAATGCGCCGATGCAGGTATAAAGAATGGCTGTTAGTCGCCATTAATGCAGTTCCTTTTGTCGCCCGCTAAAAGGTCTCAGACGGGACCCACGTGCCCCTATGCCTCTCGGGTATTAATCTTCTCAGTAGCTCGGTGCCCCCGAGAAGCGTTTGGGCCTTGGCCTTTTCTCCGTTCGGCCTAATTTGGAAAAGCTTGCACAGTATAATATTTTGAATTGGGCCGGATGAGACCCCATTAACTTTGTGCCTGCATCCCTTCCGGACCATATATAACATTAACTTTTTTAAATATTGCATATTAAGATTTATAATCCAAATATATAGATTAAGATTTAACAAATCGAATTTCTACTTTTATCTCTTAAGATTTAAGATATATTAATGAAAAATGGAAGATTGATAATTGTTGAAAATTATAGTAAAAAAATTAGTAGAAAAAATATTAAAAATAAATAATTACAGAAACATCATTATGATTTTTTTAGGGCTGCTCAACGTTTTTTTTTTTTTTTTTTTTTTTTTTTTATATATATATAACATGTATGATTAGGGGTGCAACCGTGCAAGTCGGATGGATCGGATCGGAATTAGCCTTTTCGGAAAATTTCCAAAAAATTTCGGAAGTACAAAATCAATTTCAATTCCAATTCTAAAATTTTCGGAATCGAAGAATTCATTCCAATTCCAAAAGGCTCGGAAATTTCGGAATTTCGGAAAAAAATCGGAAATCACATAAGCTTTAAAATTTCAAAACTTAGCCGAAATTTTCTAAAATTGTCATAATTTTTCGAAAATAAGAGCATGCACGTCGACAAAAGTAAAACTAATAACTACTAAATTTCAGTTCAAAAAAATAAATAAAAATAAACACAGCATAATATCTAATAAAACTTCTAACAACAATTCATTATGTCAAAATCCTAAAACAAAACTTATAGGTGTATTTTTTGGAAAATAAGTATTATATAATATATACTATTTATAGGTGTATTTTTCGGAAAAAAAATCGGAGTTTTTCGGAATTAATTTCGTAATTAAATCGGATCGGAAATCGGAAATTCCAAATTTATTTTATATAATTCCAATTCCAATACAAAAAAATTGGAAAATCTCGGAATCGGAATTTCAGAAGTTGGAATGAAAAAAGTTGTTCCAAAATCGAAACTTTTCGGATCGGAAACGGTAAAAATTGGAAAATCCGTTCCAACTTGCACCCCTATGTATGATTGAATAATTTAGACTTTCAATTCTGACAATGATTTAAAATAGTAGATAAAAAATAAACAAAAATAATTACAACTAAATTACAAAATACATTTTTTTGTAAACTCATAATTAAGAAATCTTAATAGAACACTTAAAAATGTCTAACCGTGAATAAAAACATAATAGAGTAAAAAAAAAAAAAAGATAACAATTTCTTCAGTGGCATCGGCAGCGGCTGGGTGGGCTCCACTCCTTCTTGATCGAGGATTTTTTTTTGCTGAATAAGCTGTCGTCGCGGTGGCTGCGCGCGTGGAGGTTATCGCCGAACAACTGCAATTTTGTGATGCACACGAACTGTTTGCTTTTTGTTCCGAGAGAAGCTTCTGTTATTTAAAAGCTCACTTATTGAATGGCCGCTTCGAATTCAGGTGAACAGAATCTCAATTCTTGCAATTAGCTTCTTTCCTAATGCACTTAAAATCGGATATTCGCCTGAAAATTGTGATAAACGTTTCTTGATGGTGTAGATATAGAGCTGCCGCGTGATAAATTATCCTTGCGCTGCATCAACGATGGCGAGCTATCAAGTTCTGAAAGCAAGTATGTTTGTAGCAACTTATATTCTCGTACTCTGCCTGCAAATTCTTTTTTTTTTCCTTACAAATTTTTTGGTACCTTTCTGCTATATCCCCCAATGGTAAATCAAGAATTCGATGTCAGTATAATGGTGTATTTATTTAGTGTTTATATTCTTCTTTAGTAGCAAATTTTTTTTTGAGGTAGGGTTTCTCGCAAGATCATATCGCTTTCTTGCTAGAACTGATAGAGTGATAGTGCAAGAGGTGTGGGATTAACTTGAAAATGTAAAAGCGAAAAAAGGTTAATGGCGACTCGAATTAGTTGATATCTGGTTTTACGCACGCTTAATGATTACAAGGAGGAGAGTCGTATTTCGGTTACGAATCCATACCACTAAAGATGAGAAACGGAACAATTATTAACAGATGAGAAGAACGGTCTTTTAGTTTAGGGGTTTTCGTACCACTATTGTTGACTCTGATCACTAATAAACGGCCGTAAGATTTTGCATTTTTATCACCATCAAAAGCTATATACATTAATTTAGACATCTGAAGATCGTCTTACATTATTCATTTGACAGCTCCAAGCTCTATTTGTGCAATTGAGTCCTTGTTCCATTGCGTAAAGCAATAAAACCGAGAGAGGGAAATTAATATTTTTGCCTTTTTTTCTTCTTTTCCGTTCAGCTGTTATTTCTGTATTGTGTCTTGTCCTTTTAAGCTTACGCTATATCCTCATAAGATGCTCTCTCTCACACAGAGGAAAACGTTATGTAGTTCTAGTATCGACTGGAAGCTTCAATCCTCCTACATACATGCATCTGCGTTGTCTTGGTAAGTGTATCTCACCATACATAAAGCCTTGAAATCTATTATTCGTATATTCTTTGCTAGAAAATGTCTCACCATACTTACACTTGTGTATGGATTTGCGTTTCATATATAAAGTTGATGAGAGTGCTGATTCTTTTGCAACTATGCTACATTTCACTTGAGTTTGTATTGATTTTATCTTATTTAATGCTCAGAGTTGGCAAGAGATGCTTTGAGTTCACGAGGGTTTTGTGTGGTTGGAGGTTATATGTCACCTGTTAATGATTCATATAAGAAAAAGGTACGAGCGTTAGATGTGGTGTGTAGGTATTGATTCACTAAATTCATTTAAAAAAAAACTATTATAATCATGCTTTTTTCGGATCCTTAAACCTCTTTTCAAGATTTATCAACTCTTGGGTTCGTTGCATTATATTTACTTTTTTCAGGACCTTATACGTGCTGAAATCGTCTTGCTATGTGTCAACTTGCTTGTAGAAGTTCTGATTTCATTATGGTCGATCCGTGGGAGTCTCTCTCTCTCTCTTCTCTAGGGAAAGGAATCTTGCAGCCGTC